CTTTATCAGTATAGATATTGTCTCTCTAGAAGGGCGTGTGATCAGAATACCAGGCATACGTTTTTTGGGGCTTTAAAGCTTTTTTAATATATTTTTCAATATAGCTCATCAACGATAGGAGATCCCCGAAACAAAATATGCCCATGCCACTCCCCCACGCAAGACCTTTCCGATGAGGTACAAATCATGTCTCTACGCCAGTTGTTTATTGCGTTCTTGGCGGACGTGCACATACACACACACACATAATAATATAATTATTATTAATAATAAACATCTCCATTCAAACAAGCCAAAGCCAAAGGAAAATAGCTTTGACCCTCACTTTCTAAACAGCTTGCAACGCAGAGTATAATGCAGTACACTGTCCAGCGCCTTGGGACGTCCTCCCGACGTGAAAGGCGCTATACAAATGTAATCTTGTTGTTGTTGTTGCTGTTGTAGTAGTATAGAGGTGCAACCAATTTGGGGGTTCACCTGTAAATTCTTGACTAACAGCAGTGTCCCACAAACAGTTGTAGATTGAGCGACCACATTTTTTTTTTCTTGGATGAGTGCGTTGTGAGAAGGGAGAGTTCCCCCACACACACGCACTCTCCTCCCTTGGGTTATTTTCAAAATAATTTCCTTTTTAAAAAAAATTTTAAAACAGGAAGAGGAGGTATATAAGAAAAAAACCTGGATGTAGCAGTCACACATCCTGATTCTGGAAATAATCAATTGGCAGAATACCAAAAGGACATAAAAAGAGTAAATTCACTGGGATGTACACACAACAACAACAAATTACACTTGTATCGCGCTCTGCACTTCAGAAAGATATCCCAGGGCGCTGGACAGTCAAGGGTTTTTGGACCCGAGCTGGAAGTTGGGATCAGGAGGGGTGGAGGGCAGGGGACGTGGGGGTGGGAGGGTGGCCGAAGGCTCAGTCAAAGCGGAAGGTCTTTAGATGAGACTTGAAAGAGGCGGGAGACCAAGGTCCATCTAGTTCACCTTCCATCTTCCTGGCGGTCGCTTGCACATATGTCCCAAACTCCCTATGTGCTATATCCTGTAATGTCATTTCGTAAAAGAAAACTATGTAATCTGTGTGTGAAAGAGTGAACATTTCCTGCTTCAACCGCCTCCCTCGGGAGCCTGTTCCACAGGTTCACTATTCGCTCACTGAAATAGTGTTTGCGTAGATTGGTTCTGAATTTATCCGCCTTCAATCGCAGGCCGTGTCCTCTGGTTTTCCTATTCTGGACAAGTTGAAGCAGCCCGACGTGATCTATATTGCTTTGCCCCTTTAGAATCGTAAAGACAGCAAATCATGTCGCCTCTCAATCTTCTCTTTCGCAGTGTGAACATGTCCAATTCATTTAGAGTCGCTCCTCATAGTCCAGTCCCTCCGTTCCCTCAATCATTTTGGTTGCCCTCCTCTGTATCTTCTCAATTTCTCCAATATCCTTTTTGTACTGCGGCGACCAGAACTGTACACAGTACTCTTAAGTATGGTCTCACCAATGATTTATACAGTGGCAGGACAACCCCACTATTTCGGCTGCTATTGATCTTTTGATACATCCCAGCATATTGATTGATTATTGATTATCTTATGCTCAATTTTTGATCATCCTATCCTAAATTCTACAGGATATTATTTATAGCAAAAGGCCTTGTATGATTATTACTTATTATATTTCTGCTTTTGCATTCTTTCAATCATCCTAAGGTTCGAAACAAATACACGAAGCCTCGCTTCACCTGTAGAAATCTGTTTTTAAACGCATCTGGATGTGGGATAAAAGTGCCCCCTTTGAGGTTCGGTCCTCACCAGTTGACGATTCTTCTTTTTTAAACAAAATGCCTTGGATCATAAGCGATAAAGCTTGAACCAAGGCCTTGAGGCTGAATCGTTTTATTGTGACACAGCGGGGGCGAGTAATAAGGCGTTCATTTATGCTTGAGCCACGACTGGACTTACTAACGATTATCGCTATTGCTTTCTGCAATAGTTGTTGTGTGTGTACGTGTGTCGCACCACACCGCAGAATAGATCACCCACTGCAGCCCCTTTGCACACAAGATACAAATGAACACCCTCTCCTCTTGTCCTCTTGTTATTTTATTTATTGTTCCCTTATCCCAAACTCATTTCATTTCATTCCATTCCATTCCAAGAGCTCCCAGTGACCGCCCCCTCCCTCCCTCTCATCATTTTTTTAATTAATAAAAATTATTGAAACCTCACACCCACCAAAAAAAAACCACAATCATGTGTGTGTGTGTGTGTGTAAAAAAAAGGATGTAAAAAGAAACGAGAGGAGGAAAGAAAGGAAGGGAGGAAGGGATAAATAAAGAGCAGGACCAGAAGAAACAGGCAACTCACCACAAAACCAGGTTTTAAAAAAAAAGCAACACAATTTTAAAAAAATGATTGAACACACACAAAAAAAATCTTGTTTTTGATTAAAAAAGGGAGGAAGGGAGAAGGAAAAGGAGGAGGAGGAGGAGGAGGAGGAGGAGGGGAAGGTGGAAGAAATAAAGAGCAAGGACAAAAAGAAACATGTAACTCACCAGGTTGCATTTTTTTAAAATTATGAATCAGAATATATAATTGAAGAAACAACAAACAAAACAAACGTGTGTGTGTGTGTGTGTGTGTAAAAAAAGAAATGAGAGAATCAGAAGGAGGAGGAGGAGGAGGAGGATGAGGGGAAAGGGGGAAAGAAAGAAATAAAAGAGCAGGATTGAAATTAAAAACAAAGGAGGAATAATAACTCACCAGATTGCATTGACAGTGCCCTTGGCTGTGGGGTGGGAGCTGAGGGATGGGGAAGCTGAGGTTGCAGGATTACAGCTGGTGGCCAAAAGATTGCTACCAAAAGAATTGCTACAGTATCCAACCCCCCTCTTTTTTTTTGATGGCCATCATGTGTCCAAAGTAGGGACAACCCACAGCAAGCAAAACCCAATTGGGTGGATGGTGGATGGTGGGTGGGAGGGGGGGGGTGGGTAGAGAGAGAAAGAGAGCCAGAGGGTGGTGGTGGGGGGTGAGGAGGAACTTCCAAACAGCCAACAACCACTTGCACTTATGCAGCGCCTTCCACGCTGAGCGCTTAACAGTGACGGAGCCTGACTCACAGCCGGGCCGGGGGTGGGGGGGGGGTGGGTGGGCAGGGTGGGGTGGGGTGGGGTGGAGAGAGAAGGGGGGGGGAGGGGGGAGGAGTTGGCCGTAAGCCCGGTCGAAGAGGACTTGAAAAATGGGGGGGAGGTGTGGGCGAGACAGAGGGTGGAGGTGTGGGCGAGGCGGAGGGATTCGAAGGGAGAGCGTTCCAGGGTTTTGGGGGAGGATGAGGAGGAGGTGGTGGGGGCGGGGGGGGGGAAATTGGGCTTGAGACCCCGAAGAATTCCCACCGCAAGAGTGTCGGATGCAAAGCAACCATTGTTTCTGTCCTCGTTTTGAGAGAGAGAAAGAGAGAGAAAAGACATCTCCTTCCCTCCCTCCAATGAGGATTGCTGGAGTGGTAGAGGCCGGCCATCCCAGCTGATTGCTCAGCCGGTTGCAGTGGCAGTCTCCTGCCTCAGGGAGGCGCCTTATGATTGGGGTTCGGCCAGTGGCTCAGATCAGCTCCGCCCTACCCAACCTGTGGGGTTCTGCGTCTACCCCTGGAAATAAATATAACCCTGCAGTAAACATCATCTTCATAATAATAATAACCCTTTCATTTGACAAGGCGCCTCCTCAGGTCTTCCAGACGTCTCCAAGCGCTTCACGGGATACGCCCTGAAGTGAATCGGCCGTACGTGTTGCGGGCGAAACGCGGCAGCCAGTTGCGCGCAGCAGCGTCCCCGCAAGCAGAGTGACAAGACCAAAGGCGTTATATAATAATTTATAAGATCGATGTTGATGTGGGATCGATAGGTCATTTAATGGGCTAATCATGATAAATCGGTCACATCAAAAAAACAATGCGGTCATTCGATCCACGGCTGTTTGTGGGACGCTGCTGCGCGCAATTGGCTGCCACGTTTCGCTCACAAAGTACACAGTCAATTCACTTCGCGGAATTATCTGTTAGATGTCTCAAAGACATGATAAGGCGCTTTATCAAATGCAAGGATTATTATTATTACCCACCCTGCACACAGCAATGTCCCGCAGACAGTCGTGGATTGAGTGGTCAAATTTTTTTAAAAATTATTTTGAAGGAACTATTACCCCCAATATAATTACGACCCCNAATATAATTATTACCCCCAATATAATTATTACCCCCAATAAAGTTATTACCCCCAATGCATTATGATTGAGCAGACCGGGCGTTGTGCTGGGTAAAACTTATTTTAATTTGCATATTTTGTTTTACAATTGCGTAAGTAAACCAACAAAAATACAAAAAAAAAGAGTCAAAGGTTTGCAAAATCGAAGCTGTGTTAATTTGTAGGCAACTTAACTTCCTGAAATCATTCTTGTATTAAAATGTTACTGCGTGAAAAAATTCCTTCACGCCCAGCTTGCGAGCTTGTTTCAGAATAAAGGATTAGGATCAGAATAAAAATATCGCAATGAAGCAACAACAACAACATCAACAAATTACGTTTGTGCAGCGCTGTTCACGTCGGGAGGACATGCTAAGCCGCTGAACCCTTATGATCCTCTCACTTGTTTTCAAATCCCCATGTGCCCTCGTTCCTCCCTACCGCTCCGATTTGCTTACCCCCCACCCAACTCCACCATCGGCGGCCGTGCCTTCAGCCACTACGCCCCGAAGCTCTAGAACTCTCTCCCTCAATCCCTCCCTCCCCACCTTCAAATCCCACCTAAAGACCTTCCTTGTTTGATTGTGTTTCCAGTCATCTCCTCCCTCCCTCTCCTCCCTGCATCAAGGGTCAGACTCCGCCACTGACAAGCGCTCGGGGACGCTACCCATCGTTAAGGGCGCTGTGTAAAAGGCAAGTTGTTGTTGTTGCTGGTGTTGTGTTATTGCTGCACGCTGGAAGCCTGGCTTGGAAGTTTACCACATTTGAACCTTTTTGGCAGAAACAAGTTGTCCGTGGGGCTCGGTAACATCTGGGGGTAGAAGGGCGAGATAGACGGGGGTCTCAGCCCCTTCATCCAGGCTGCGGGCGGCTTTCTGACCCGTTGACTGGGGCCGAACCCAACCAGGACAGCAAGCGTTCAAGAGGATGCCGTCCGCTGGCCTGTCCCTGCTCAGAATCCGGGCGTGGATTTTGGACAGGACAGTGATCCCGATCTTCGATATCCCATAAGCAGTGGACGGCCAGCCTTGCTCGCTGTGTATCCCCTTCTTCGTGTCCTCCACAAATTTCGTCATCAGCTCCACCAGCTCGTTCTCCGTGAGGGTCTCGCTCCGGAACCTGCTCTGGAGCTCGCTTCCGCATTTCTGCAGAACGCTCACGCTTATTACACTGGACATGTTCACCACTCGCCCTGTGGTGGGGGGGGGGGAGAGGGGAGGGCGAGGTACAGGCACATTATCAGAATTCTCCTCCCTGTTCTCTCGATTCACTCCTCGAAGACATGAAACGTCTCGAAGACATGATTAAATGCAACGATTATTATTATTTATATTGTGCCCTCTACCAAATTCAATCCCTCTCCCATCGTCCCCCAGCAAAAAAATAGGATTATAATTGATTGGTTTTCTCATCTCAATTTTGTTTGTAGGCACAAGCTAGCTGCAGAAATTTGCCTCTTAGCCACGTTCAACATCACGGTGTTTCTAATTAATCTCTTTTTGGGGGGGGGGGGTCAGCCGGGTGTCTGACTCACGCGGAAACCCTTCACCGTTGCTTAAGAGCGTCCAAACCAAGCTGAGATTTCCATGCCTCCCAACTACACATAGAAACCCCAGAGACAGATTCTTGGAAAGTTGTTAATTGGTCCTGGAGCTTAGAGGTTAGAGCGCTCGCCTCGCAAGTGAGAGATCTGGGTTCGATTCCCGTCAGGGCAAAACGTTGGGCAAGTTTCCTTACTTCACACACACACACACACACGCCTGATAATAATCCCTCAAGAAAAGTACCATAATAAATTGGTCACTTGTATCCACGGCTGTTTGTGGGACGCCGCTATGCGCAAATGGCTACCGCATTTCGCCCAGAAATATGGGAAATCAGACAGACAGACAGACAGACAGACAGAGACGTTACCTCTGCGTTTGATGGTCGGGAGCAGTTCGGAGCAGACGTCCCGGGTGGCGAAGAAATTGGTTGCAATGGTGACTTCTGCCTGGACCTCGAAAGGGGTAGTGTCAGCCACTTTGAAAGCAATGCCCGCATTGTTCACCAGCACATCGATGCCCCGTATTCCTGCAGCATGGTGCTCCGCAGAATCCGTATACTGCTGCGATCGGTGATGTCCAGCTGGTAATAATAACAATAATGATAATAATAATCCTTGGATTTGATCTAGCACCTCATGACGTCTTTGTAACGAGGTGCTAGATCAAATGCAAGGGTTATTTTTATTATTATTAAAGCGCTTGCATCACAGAATACACTGTCAAATTGAACTGACTGTATATTTTGTGGGCGAAACGCGGCAGCCAATTGCGCACAGCAGCGTCCTGGGTGGATTGAGTGACCAATTTATCATACTTTTATCATCACCATTTTTCTTTCAAGGAATTACCCCGGTAAAAGAGATCAGCCGTGTCCCCACAAACATTCGACTAACAACCTACCGACGCTAGGTGCGTGCATGTGGAGTAAGTTAAACTTGCCTGACATTTCACTGCCCCCCCCCACCACCCACCCTGGGGAATCCAACCCAAGTCCTCTCGCACGCGAGGCGAGTGCCTCTAACCACTAACCACTGAAGCTACCTGATGGAACAAGGGCTGCAGCCCTTCCCTCTGCAGATCTTCCACCGCCTGCTGGCCCATGGCCTGGTCCTGGGTTGTCAGGTACACATCGCCCTGGAACTGCCTGCACAGGGACCTCACGATGGCCAGGCCGACCCCCTGGTTGGCTCCGGTCACCACCGCAACTCGCTCGGACATTCTTCTTTGCGGACAGCCGGGGAGAGTGTAAACAGCGACTTGTGGGGTTTTTTATCATTCACTTTGGACCTATTGCCGGTGGTGGCGATTGTAACAAAGTTGCTGTCGTTCCACATTTCTAACCAATGAATGTCACTGTCAACTTGGCTGCAATCACTTTTGGGGTGGGGTGGGGGGGGAGATTGGGGGGGAAAGCGGGGCCGAGTGACAGAGGGGGGGAAGGGGAGGAGGGAGGTAAAAGGGGTCTCCTTGGAGCTACTGGCTCCAAGATGACTGACATGATTGGCAATGGAATGATAATAATCTTTGCGTTTGATACAGCACTTTAACACGTCTTCGAAACGTCTCAAAGCGCTTCACAGGATACACTGTCAAGTGAATTGACTGCGCATTTGGTGGGCGAAACGCGGCAGCCAATTGCGCACAGCAATTGCGCTGCGTAAGGAAAGTTGCCCAAGGTTTCGCCCTGCCAGGAATCAAACCCAGGTCTGTTGCTCGTGAAGCGAGTGCTCTAACCACTGAGCTACAGGACTCAAAACCATATTGATATGCAACACCATGCAATCTTGTTCATTGAGTGGTGAATTCAAGCAACGTGTTGAAACTTGAGCTCCTATAGGGCTGTGGCACAAAGGTTAGATTGAGTACAGCAATTACCTGTTCTGCAGGTGAGTTTGAAGTAAGTCATCCACAAAGAGAAGGAAGTTTCTCCTGGTCCAAATTCCTCAACACCAACACTTCCCCACCCGCCCCACACACATCCAACAACAAGGCCCTTCCAGCGAGGCAGTGGAGTGACACCATAACCTGTGACACCATAACCTGTGGGGAGAGAGGAGGCGATCATCAGCACAGTCCAAGAGGATGGACTTCAGTCGTGATCTAAAAGAGGGGAGGAGGGGGAAAGGCGGAGGGATTGGGGGAGAGAGTTCCAAGGCTTTGGGGTGAAGTGGCTGAAAGCTCGGCTGCCAATGGCGGTGAGGGGGGAGGTGAGTGACAAGCAGGAGGCCAGAGCGGAGGCAGCGGGTGGGGAGTGTGGGGAAAGCAGGCCGGACAGGTAGGAAGGTGCTGGGGCTTGAAGGGATTTGGAGATGAGCGAGAGGATCTTAGGGCCAGTGGAGCCGGGCAAAAATACTGCTGATGCTGGAAATCTGACACAAGAACAGAAGTCGCTGGGAACACTCAGTAGGTCAGGCAGCATCTATGGAGAGAGGATACTGGGGCGTGTTGGGAGGGAGAGGCTTTTAAGAACAAATAGAGAGGGGGGGAGGCAGGGCACGGAAGACAGATGAGAAAATGAGGTAGACGACAAGGGGATGATGGGTTAAAGGGATGTTAATGGTGCAATACAAAGGGGTTGGGGGGGGTGGTGATTTGCAAGAAAACAGGCAGACCAGATGTCTGGGACCCAGATGATGTGGTAATGGTCACAGAAGGGGGGGCAGCGGGAGCTGTTATGGTCTGAAATTATTGAAATCAATATTGAAGCCAGAGGGCTGTGAGGTCCTTGGCGAATACTGGTGTGATGGGGGTAGGTTTGGATTAGAGACCCTGAATGTCAGCAGATTGCTTGCAATTTATAATGAAAGTAAGTTGCAGCAATCTAAAACAAACAGCACAGCACATTACAAATGTGGCAAATGCTACAACACATTTTCTTCAGATAAGATTTAAGACATAAAATTGCCATTGTTTTAACTGGAGCAACAACTCACCCAGAGCTCACCAACCAATGTCAAATGAAAAGATTAGGATTCCCATGTATCTAGTCTTAGATACTGGGACGCTCTTCCTCTCCCTCCCCCTTGCCCCCTCTTTCAGGTCATGCCTGAAGACCTTCCACTTCGACCATACGTACGGTCAACTCTCCCTGGCTCGTGGCAGCTATCTTGTCAAGACGTCTCAAAGCGCTTCACAGAATATCCTGTAAAGTGAATTGACTGTATATTTGCGGGCGAAACGTGGCAGCCAATTGCACACAACAGCGTCCCTCAAAGAGTTGTGGATTGAAGCGGCCAAATTATTATTAGTTTTTTTTAGGGAATCATTGAAGGCAGGAAAAATAGCTTTCAAGGGAGAACGGGATACGTAAAAAGGAGTAATTTGTCAGGTATTGAGAAAGTGCAAGTCAACGGGACTGAAAGGATTGGTCTTTCAGTGAGCCAGAACACAAACCGTGGACCGAATCAAATGGCTTTCTTCTGTGCTGTAAATGTTATGGTTCTATGTAGAAGAGCAACTATCTACTGCACAAGTGGGACCTGGTTATAACTCACTTTGTCTTGACATCGGCGAGGCCTGACGTTTAGAGTATTTACCAAATAATCCGTGCTTGTGGAAACACTGGCTGACTCCCATCGGCGAACATCACGTTTCGCTGACAAAATATGCAGTCACTACACTTTACAGTGTATCCTGTGAAGCGCTTTGAGATGTCTCGAAGACGTGACAAGGCGCTGTATCAAATGCAAGGTTTAGCATTATTACTATTGTTATTATTATCACCCTTCAAATGTTTTGTCATGGAACAGCAAAAGGTGCCATGGCGTGTTACGAAGCACGACCCTGCAATATTGAAGCGATGGAGTCTATCTGTGCGGAAACGTCCGGGTGTAAAGCGATCCACAATGTCCCTGTGCGCAGGTGGCGACTTTATGAGGCTGGTTGCGATGTCGCTGCCCCCATGTTAATGCTCTCATTTGAATGACGAGGAACTTTAGGAGAGAAAGTAACGGAAACACAAGGGAAGAAGCTTAACCTCTATTTGAATCAACACCGGGCAGCAGCTCAATAACAGCTTCATAAGAACATAAGTATTTGCTCGGCGAGTGACGGCCAAGGTCCATCTACTTCACCTCCCACCGTCCTGGCAGTCGCTTGACATGTCGTCACCCAAACTCTACACTGTATTGTCCTGAGATATTATTTTTTAACTGAAATCTATGGCGAGGATACTGGGGCGTGTTGGGAGGGAGTGGCTTTTAAGGATTTTATTTTCTAGCTGAAATCTATCCAATTTGCCCTTGAAACAAATGACATGTTCTGCTTCCACCATCTCCCTAGGGAGTCCCGGTTAGAGCACTTGCCTCTCAAGCGAGAGGAGCTGGGTTCGATTCCCAGGTAGAGCGAAACCTTAGACGAGATTCCTTACTCCACACGCCTCTACAGCAGTAAGTAGGAATCCTCTTGAACGGTCATTTATCTATTGGTCGATCGTTTTGTAGTGGGTAAGAATAATCCCTTCGAAATAATTGTAAAGAAACACAAAGTGACCACATATCTCAAGCCATGAATCAGTTTGATTTTATTGAGTAAAGATTTTATTTTGTATATCAACGAACATCAGGGTTTTGATGAAGTGTTTTGCTGTCGTACATCTGTTATAATGTAAAGCACATTGTTGGTTGCAGGCGCTTAACTTTCCAGTTTCCTGGCCTCTGATCCTATGTGTAATAATACCTGCAACTCCTGACCTGAAATATTTACCAGGCTTCAACCTTTTTCTCCGACACATACTCTCCGTGGGGCGATTTGGCTTCAGGGGGCAGAAGAGCGAGATAGACGGGGGTCTCAGCACCTTCGTCTGGGCTCTTGGGGGCTTTCTGACCGGCCATCTGGGTTCGAACCCAACCAGGGCAGCAAGCGTTCAGGAGGATGCCGTCCGCTGGCCTGTCCCTGCTTAGAATCCGGGCGTGGATTTTGGACAGGACAGTGACCCCGATCTTGGACACCCCGTAAGCAGTGGACGGCCAGCCTTGCTCGCTGTGTATCCCCTTCTTCGTGTCCTCCACAAATTTCTTCATCAGCTCCACCAGCTCGTTCTCCGTGAGGGTCTCGCTCCGGAACTTGGCCTGGAGCTCGCTGCTGCATTTATGCAGAGACCTCACGCTTACCATACTGGACACGTTCACCACTCTCCCTGAGGGGGGGGGGGGGGGGAACAATAACGCACAATTTACAAAACAATGATAGAATTAATAATAATCCTTGCAACTGTTTCCCCCTTCTCCCCTCCCTCCGTTTAGTGCATTTCAGACCACAGAATGCATCCTCTCCTTTCGCCCACAAAATATACAGTCGATTCACCTTACAGTGTGCAGAAGGGGGTAAATAACTTCAGAGAGAAAAAAAATAATCCAAAAGCAATCGGTTGCTTCAATCCACGGCTGTTGCTGCGCGCGATTGACTGCCGCGTTCCGCCTGCAAAATGTACAGTCACTGCACACTTGACAGTCTACCCTGAGAGGTCTCGCAGTCACAATAAGGCGCTGTGTCAAATGCGAGGCTGATGATGGCCATTATTCTGATGGTTATTATTCTGATGGTTATTATGGTGAATATACTGCCGATGATGTTTATAATGATTACCTTTGGGTTTGATGATGGGGAGCAGTTCAGTACAGACATCCCGGGTGGCAAAGAAGTTAGTTGCCAGGGACACCTCGGCCTGGGTGGCGAAAGGGGTGGTGTCGTCCGTTTTGAAAGCGATTCCCGCGTTGTTTATCAGCACATCGACCCCCCCGTACTGCTCCAGCATTGAGCCCCGGAGCTTTTTGATGCTGTCGCGGTCGGTGATGTCCAGCTGGTGGAAAAGGGGTTTGAGCCCCTCTTTCTGCAGGGCTTCCACCGCCTGCCGGCCCCTCGCCTGGTCCCGGGCTGTCAGGTACACATCCCCCTGGAACTTGCCGCACAGGGACCTCACGATGGCCAGGCCGATGCCCTGATTGCTTCCTGTCACTACTGCCACTCGCTTGGACATTCTCACTCACTCACTCACTCGCTCGGTGTCTGTGTGTCTCTGTGTCTCGGTCTGTGTGTCTCTGTGTCTGTGTGTCTGTCTGTCTCTCGGTCTGTGTGTCTCTGTGTCTCGGTCTGTGTGTCTCTGTGTCTGTCTGTCTGTCTGTCTCTCGGTCTCTGTGTCTCTGTCTGGAGGGGATCCAAAGTGAACAGGAAATGTATCCCCAGCACTTTTGTTACATTGGTTGAGACTCTGTCCCTCCCCCCCTTTCCACCCACATAAACACACCCCCAAAACCTAAACGCGCACAAACGCACAGAACCTAAACGCACACACAAAACCTTTTGCCCACCAAAGGCCAGTCACCAAATATCTGCAATATTGTTGGACAAGATAATAAATAATAATCCTTGCATTTGATACAACGTCTTAGCACGTCTCCGAGGCGTCTCAAAGCGCTTCACAGGATATCCTGTAAAGTGAATTGACTGTGTATACTTTGTGGGCGAAACGCGGCGGCCAATTGCGCACAGCAGCGCCCCCACAAAACAGCCGTGGATTGAAGTGACCAATAATAATCTCTCCAAAAACCAAAAACAATAAAAATTGGTCATTTTCAATCTACGACTGTTTGTGGGACATTGCTGTGCGCAATTGGCTGCCGCGTTCGCCCACAAATATACAGTCAATTCACTTTACAGTGTGTTCTGTGAAGCGCTTTGGGACGTCCTCCCGACGTGAAAAGCGCTGTATCAAATGCAAGGATTATTATTATTATTATTACTATTATTATTATTATTATTATTTTCAGGATATTGGGAGAAGAGAGTTTATTGAAAAATCTCCTGGCCGGCAATCCTCCAGGTCAACTGGACGTTCAGCGTGTTCCAATCATCAGGGACGTTCTGTGTGTGTGTGTGTGTGTGTGTGTGTGTTTGTGCGTAAAGACAGTGTGAGCAGCTTTTTTACGTCAACTTCGGTGCAATATTTTATTGTACTGTTCTGTGGCCACCCTCTAGTGGTAAATCAGTTACACTTCAGTAGCACATGGTGTGTGTTTGTGTGTTGTGTGCGTGCGCTGCAAAACAGATAAAAGCCAGAGGCCCAGAGCCATTTGCCGCTCACATGTTAGGTTAACGTTGCCCAAATCCCAACTTAAATGCGCCGATTTACGGGCAGTCGCAGAGAGATCAGCGCGGAAGCTTCAAACCTCACACACACGCGAAAAAAAAAGCCCAAAGCTTTAAAGAGAGGAGATGTTCGGCATGTTTGCCAATGAATAACCGCACCTGGTTCCGTTCCTTCCTGCAGCTTGCGGCGGCTGGGAGAGGAGCTTTGTCCAACGCTACGCAAGGCGAGGCAAGGCCAGGCGCCCGGGGCGAAGAGCGAGTGGATCGCGTCCGGAACCGCTCTGGGGCTCTTCGGTAATGGGGAGAAAGAGAGGCCGGACCTGCAGGAAGAGGGGACGCAAACGGGCTTTTACCCCGGAGGTAATGGGCCGACGAACAGGTGACTCATGTTGCTAGCACTCTCTCCAGCCCGGCATCGACAGTTCCTTCCTTACTTGTCCTGCCTGCCCCGGGCGGGGGGTTTTCCCGTCATGTCGAAACCAACCCCCCCCCCCCCGCGCCACCTCCCCGATCATCGCCAGTTCCTGGCCAGGCCACGCCGGACAGATCGATTTCAGGATCCTCTCACTTGTCTTCGAACCCCTTCACTTCCCCGGCTGGCACCTCCCAACCTCTCCGACTTGCTTTACCCCAACCCCCCCCCACTACCCTCCTCCTGACAGGCTCCGGCCTCCTGCTTGTCCCTCGTTGCTCTCTGTTCAGCCGTCGGCGGCCGAGCTTTCAGCCACTGCGCCCCGAAACTCTGGAACACTCTCCCTCTGTCTCCCCACCCCCCCCCCCCACCACCACCAACCACCGCCTTCCCCATCTTCAGGTAGTAAGCGCCGCCTGATGTGGAGGGCGCTACATTAACAGCATGTGTGTAGTCCTGTAGCTCAGTGGTTAGAGCACTCGCCTCGCAAGCGAGAGGACCCGGGTTCGATTCCCAGTCAGGGGGCGAAACGTTGGGCAAGTTTCCTTACTCCACACACACACGTACCCACACGCCTCTGTTTACCCAGCAGTAAGTCGGAACCCGGTTGTTAGTTAATTGGCGGATTGCTTTTCCGGGGGTAATAATTCCTTCAAAATATAATAATTTGTTTGTGGGACGCTGCTGTGCGCAATCGGCTGCCGTGTTTCACCCATAAAATATACAGTCAATTCACTTTTCAGGAGATCCTGTGAAGCACTTTGAGACGTCTCAACGACATGATAAGGCGCTAAACCAAATACAAGGATTATTATTATTATATTATTATTATTATTATTATTATACTGCAGCCTTGGTTGTGCACCTCAAGCTGAAAACAGAATGACCAAAACAATAAACTCATTGCTTCAAACTCTTGCAGTTAACATTAGCCACGAGATGCAATATGTGCAGCTGAGGAAATGGCTGAAAGAGAACGGATGCATTGATCTGCACTTGGTCCCAGCAGACTTTCCAGGTACTTGCTTTGTCTCTCTTTATATTATTATATTTTGGAGTCCTGTAGCTCAGTGGTTAGAGCACTCGCCTCGCAAGTGAGAGAACTGGGTTTGATTCCCAGGCAGTGCGAAGCATTGGGCAAGTTTCCTTACTCCACACGCCTCTGTTTACCCGGCAGTAAGTAGGAACCCGGTTGTTAGTTGATTGTCGGATCGCTTTTCCCGGGGGTAATAATCCCTCTTAAAAAAAAATTGGTCGCTTTAACCCACGACTATTTGTGTCGCCCACAAAACATACAGTCAGGTCACGTTACAGTATATTTTGTGAAGTGCTTTGAGACATCTCGAAGACGTGATCAGGCGCCGTATCAGATGCAAGGATTATTATGTATTTTATTATATTATTAAGTTACTGGTATCAGACATTGTTAGTTGCACTCGACTCATCTGCAACAATTCAATGCAAGAAAAAGATGGGGTGGGGTGGGGGGGGGAGTGTTGGGGGTCGTAACAGGACTTTGTGAACACACTGTATGTTGAAATCCCTCCGCCTTACAGCCTCCCTCCCCACTTTCAAATCACCTTCCTTTTTGATCGTGCTTACGGTCACTTCTCCCCTCCCTCCTTCCCTCTCCCGCTGGCTCGGGGTCAGACTCCGCCACTGTCCAGCGCTCCCGGACACAAAGTGTGCTATATAAATGCAAGTTGTTCTTGTTTTTGGTTTTTGATGAGGTTTGCGTTATTTGTTTCAGATACTGGCAGAGGATTAATGACCACAAAAGCTCTTCAGGTTGGTGACAGAATTCTTGTCCCTTCTTTTCTCACCATGTGCTGTTCCTAATTCTGTAACGGTTCAGCGAGAGGGCAGCTATCTTCTACCACAATATTTCTATTCAAAAAAATAATGAATCAGTCGCTTCAACCCACGACTGTTTGTAGGGACGCTGCTGTGCGCAATTGGCTGCCGCGTTTCGCCCACAACATACACAGTCAATTCACTTTACGGTATATCCAGTAAAGCGCTTTGAGAAGTCTCGAAGACGCGATAAGGCGCTGTGTCAAATGCAAGGATTATTATTGATACTGCAGTTTTAAACGTGGAAACCATCGTGATCAGGCTGCCTCGTCAGTAATACTTAACTCTTGTTTTTCTTTGTAATGCAAGATCTATCCTCGGCATTTCATTAATTGTTAAAAGTTAGTTGGAGTGTGACTGAATTCATTGCTCCCTTGTTCTTTCCTGTTGCTTAGCCGGGAGATACAATTATCGCACTGCCTGAGAAATGCCTGCTCACCACCCAGACTGTTCATAGGAGTTACTTGGGTAAATACATCGAGCGGTAAGTAGAACCTTGTAAGAACTGGGGTCCGTAAATAGCTTGTTACCCCTTTCAAGTAAGGTTCGTTCTGGAGAGGCTTCACACGATTTTTTGGGGTGGGAATAGGGGGTTTAACTACTAAACACAGGCCAAGGAAATGCAAATAGTTTAAATATAAGGGCAGACGAGGAGAAATTGTTTTGGCCCAGAGAGTTGTTACGGTCTGGAACGCGCGGCCTGAAAGGGTTGGTGGAAGCAGATCCGATGGTATGATAATATAATAATAATCCTTGCATTTGTAGCTTTCAAAAGGGAATTGGTACGGGTACTTGAAAGGGTCTGTACAGTCAGGGATTTGGAGCTGAGCAGGGGGTTGGGATCAGGGGGCGGTGGAGGGCAGGGCAGGGAGGGTAGGGGGTAGGAGATTGTGGGCCTGCAAGAATGAACTTTTGCCACTGTTAAGCTTTATAAATTGTTTCTTATTTTAAATTGTAAGCGACCTCAGGCTTCCTTACTCCACCCACGCCTCTGCAATACCTAGCGGTAAGATGGAACCCGGCTGTTGGTCGATTGGCGGATCGCTTTTCCGGGGGTTAATAATCCCTTCTCAAAAAAATAATAATTAAAAAAAAATAATAATCCGGTCACGGCTGTCTGTCTGTGCGGAAATTGGCTGCCGCGTTTCGCCCACAAAATATGCAGTTAATTCACTTGACAGTGTATCCTGTGAAGCACTTTGAGACGTCTCGAAGACGTGATGAGGCGCTGTATTGAATGCAAGGATTATTATATTATTATTATAGTGTCATTCTGCGTCATTTGAAGATTTGGTCTCCCTCCCACCTCTCTGCCTTCCCTCACCCCTACAACCCCCTCCCCCATGCTCGGGCCCCGACACCTGACTGTCCAGCGCTTTGGGACGTCCTCCCGACGTGAAAGGCGCTCTATAAATGTAATGTTGTTGTTGTGGTTGTTGGGCTATTTGCAGGTGGAAGCCGCGGTTGTCACCGCTCCAGGTCTTGTGTACTTTTCTCGTGGCCGAGAGACATTTCGGGAGGACGTCTCCGTGGAAGCCTTACATCGACGTCCTGCCGAAGGCCTACACCTGCCCGGGTTATCTAGCGGAGGAAGTGTTGCGTTTGTTGCCCGAAGCTCTGCTCGGAAAGGCCGAGGTGCAGAGGAGAGACATTCGAGAACTGACCCTTTCTTCGGAAGGCTTCTTCCACTCGTTGCAACCCTTATTCGCCGAGAGCGTGGAGGGCATTTTTACGTCCGATGCCCTGCGCTGGGCTTGGTGCAGTGTTAATACCAGGACGGTTTACATGGAGCGTCTCCAGAGCGAATACTTCTCCCGCGAGCCTGACGTTTATGCCCTGGCGCCGTATTTGGACCTGCTGAACCACAGCCCGACCGTTCAGGTGATGAGTTAGGCTTCTTCAGTCCAACTGCTTAAGACACACCCGTCTTCAAATCCCTTCACGCCCCGGGATCTCCCTACCTCTCCGACCTGCTTCCCTCCCAACCCACAACCCGCTCGACTGGCTCCGGCCTCCTCCTTGTCCCCTCGTGCCCTCTGTTCCACCATCGACGGCAGTCCTTTCAGCTACTGCACCCCGAAACTCTGAAACACTCTCCCTCTATCCCATTGCCTCGCCCCTTCCTTCCCCATCTTCAGGTCGCGCCTGAAGATCTTCTTGTTCGACCGTGCCTATGGTCGCCTCCCCACCTCCCCTCCCCTCGGCATCGTGCTCCGCCACTGTCAAGCGCTCTGGGATGCTGCCCTGCGTGAGGGGGCGCTATATAAATGCAAGTTGATGTGGTTGTTGCCTAAATAACAGTATTGTAACAGAGGAGAAGCATGCTTGGCTTGTTGAGCTTATTCTAGTCCTAGCATCTCAACTGGAGGTCATTCCGGAGCAGTGCTGGGGATGCTGCTGTCAGCAGCTCCTGTCGTTTCGATGAGATGTTAGACCTGGGTCTTACCTGCTGTTCAGGTGGACAGCAGTCGCAGCTCTTTAGACGGGACTTGAAGGAGGCAAGAGAGGGGATGAGGCTGAGGGATTGCGGGATGGAGTTCCAGAGTGTGGGATACAGAGAGGCTGAATGCCCGACCACTAATGGTGGGAGCGGGAGAGGAAACGAGCTGCAGAGTTCTGAATAATCTGCAATTTGTGGAGGGACGAGTTGGGAAGCCCAGCGAGCAGGCAGTTGGATTAGTCAAGCACAGATAACAAGTTAATTAGATGGTTAGTTAGTGACAGGCTGGAGTTGGGGGGAGGGGGGGGGAGTTCCCCTTTAATGTCCAACTGAATCACAAAGCAGATGGGATCAGATTGATGACACAAAAATTATAATTATAATAATATTTGGCATCGTGTTTCCGAGCGCTTCACTGAACATACGGTAAAGTGGATTTACTGTGTGTTTTGTGGGTGAAGAGTGGCAGCCAATTGCGCACAGCAATTGTCCAACAAACTGTCGTGAATCGAGGGGCCAACATTTTGTTTCATTTCAAAAAAAGGGATTGATGATCTCGAACCATTAAAATGACCTGTATGTTAACATCCATTGTTTGTTCGAGTTTAACAACAACTTGCATTTACACAGCTCCCCCTCGCGCACGCAGGGTAGCGACCCAGAGCGCTTGACAGTGGTGGAGCACGACTCCGAGATGGGGGGAGCGAGGGGGGAGGTGACCGGAGGTGTGGTCGAACAGGAAGGTTTTCAGACGCGACCTGAAGATGGAGGATGGAAGGGGCGAGGGGAGGGACAGAGGGAGATGTTCCAGAGTTTCGGGGCGTAGTGGCTGAAAGCGCGGCTGCCGATGGTGGAACGGAGGACAAGCAGGAGGCCGGAGCCAGTCGAGCGGAGGTAGTGGGTTGGGGGAGTTTAGTTGGTGTGATAGAGTCAGTGGAGCCTGGCGAGGGCTGGGGTGATGGGGGTACGGGGTTTAGTGGGTGTGATAGGGAGCCAGTGGAGCCTGGCGAGGGCTGGGGTGATGGGGTACGGGGTTTAGGGTGTGTGAGAGGGAGCCAGTGGAGCCTGGCGAGGGCTGGGGTGATGGGGTACGGGGTTTAGGGGGTGTGAGAGGGAGCCAGTGGAGCCTGGCGAGGGCTGGGGTGATGGGGTACGGGGTTAAGGGGGTGTGAGAGGGAGCCAGTGGAGCCTGGCGAGGGCTGGGTTTATAGGGGTTATGATAGATCTGGTTACCGCTCAACAAACCAAAAGTGAGGGCAGAGTTCAGATTATAAGACCTTTGTTTTGTTTTTCTCGTGGTTTGATTTTTGTGCTCCCAAGGTAACGGCCGGCTTCAACCAGGAAAGCAAATGCTACGAAATCAGAACGCTAACCAAATGCCGGAGGTACCAACAGGCGTTCATCTGCTATGGACCTCACGACAATCAGCGGCTTCTGTTAGAGTACGGCTTCTTCGCTGCCAACAATCCTCATAGTGTCATTTACGTGGAAAAAGGTTAGTGTTTCTGCCCATCGCCTGTCCCTCTCTCCCCCCCCCCCCCACCTTCTTAAACCCCCCCACACACACGCACAATCGCACTTCCTGCTGCAAATAAAAACTTTTTTTGTCAGCTGGGTGTCTGACGCACTCAGGAACTCATCACCCTGTTTCACAAACACCCTGCGGAGTCCTGTAGCTCAGTGGTTAGAGCCCTCCACCTGGTAAGCGAGAGATCTGGGTTCGATTCCCGGCCGGCAAGACGAAACAATGGCCACCACCACCACCAACAACAACAACATTACGTCAAGTTTCCTTACTCCACACTCCTCTGTTTACCCAGCAGTAGGTGGGAACCCAGGTGTTAGTCGATCGGCGGATTGCTTTCCCGGGGATAATGATTCCTTCCAAAAAATATAACTTCAATCCACGACTGTTTGTGGGGACGCTGCTGTGCGCAATCGGCTGCTGCGTTTCGTCCTCAAAATGTACAGTCAATTCGCTTTACAGTATATTTTGTGAAGCGCTTTGTGACGTCTCGAAGATGTGATAAAGCGCTATATCAAAATGCAAGGATTATTATTATCCCTGCTGCCTCCCAATACTGTTTTCAAGAATCTACTTATTCAGATTCTTCAGTGAAGGAGTTGATTGGGGGGTACGGAATTTAGTGTGGGTGAGGGCAGGGGGTGATGGAGTTCTGAATCAAAAACTGCCTTGAACCTGGAGACTTTGCCCTCTGATTTCTTCCCTCCCCGCAGGAAAATGCTTGAGGCACCCAGTGTAAAAATTAGCTGTTGAGTCAGACTGCCATTTCAAAATTAGCCGTCGTCAACCAAAATGTTGTTCTTGCCAAGAAAAAAAATCATGATTGTGATGCCACATTCCCTCCGCCTCGCCCCCTCCCTCGCCTCCTTCAAGACCCGTCTCAAGACCCTCCTGTTCGCCCGTGCCTTCGGTCGCCCTCCTACCCATCCCCCTCCTTTCACCCCCTCCTGATCCCAACCACCAGCTCGGGTGCGGATCCCTGACTGTCCAGCGCCTTGGGACGTCCTCCTGGCGTGAAAGGCGCTGTGTAAATGGAGTTTGATGATGTTGTTGTTGTTTGCTTTCAGATGTTCTCCGTACCCACCTTTTACAGAAAGACAAAGAGCTAAACGGAAAACTCTCATTTCTGCAGGACAGAGGATTTCTAGAGTACGTGTTGTTTTTTTTTTCTTGTTGCCATTTGAAATAAATGAAACAGAAATGGGGCTTTTCATCATCATAATAATAATAGAATCCTCGCATTTGATATAGCGCCCTATCACGTCTTTGATCCGTCTTAGAGCGCTTACAGAATATACTGTGAAGTGAACTGACTGTATATTTCGTGGATGAAACGTGGCAGCCCATTGGGCACAGCAGCGTCCCACAAACAGTCGTGGATTGGAGTGACCGAATTATTATGTTTATTTATTTGTTTTGAAAGGATTGAAAGCTGGGATTGTTCTCCTTAGAGCAGAGAAGGTTAAGGGGAGATTTAATAGCGGTGTTCAAAATTCTGAGGGGTTTTGATAGAGCAGTTAGGGAGAAACTGTTTCCTCTGGCAGGTGAGTCGGTAACCAAGGCACATCGATTTAAGATAATTGGCAAAACAAAACAGAGGGGAAGATGAGAAGAAAGCTATTTACACAGAGAGTTGTTACGGTCTGCAATGCATTATATTATTATTATCATTTAGATTTACTGCTTTACACCAAGAAATGATCACTTTTGCATTTTGTACACTTCCAGAAATTTAACGTTTGGATTTGAAGGACCGTCTTGGAGGCTTCTGGCGGCTCTTAAGGTGCTTTGCCTCGGACCGGATAATTAGTAGGTTTATAACAGCTTACTTGCTCTTCTGTTCTTCCACCTCTTTTCTCCCTCACTCTCCCAGAACAAGATCTGCCCAAATGGCAGATATCCATTTTCAAGGCCACGATCAATAATAATAATCAGAATCCTTGTAAACCTTGCATTTGATATAACAACAAAAACAAATTACATTTGTATATAGCGCCTGATCACATTGTTGAGACGTCTCAAAGTGCGTCACAGGATATATTGTAAAGTTAATTGACTGTATTTTGTGGGCGAAACGCATCAATCAATGTACTCAATGTAAAAATCAATGTAATCAGCCACTGAGACAAGTGTTCCTAAATGATGGTTGAACTGACGTCAGGACCTCGATGCAAGGACCTTGTGTCTGGGTGGGAAACCTGGTTCCAGGTCTCTGCCAATGCCAAGACTGAAACCAGGGCTGGATGATGCTGGTAGTATTCTGATTGAGTTGAGTGTTGAGGCTTGTTTATAGTGGAAGAATAATGTGGGAGAGGGGAACAAGATTGGCAGCTTCTACTCCTAACGGTATTTGAAGACCGAGGAGAGGGTTGGAAAGAGTACAACCCATTGAGCGTGCAGGTCTTCTCTAGCCAGAGGTAGAAATAAAGGTAGGAACGTTGAAATATAGTTGCATGGAACATGTTCGCCCATAAAATACTGGTTTAGGATAGTGGTCAAATGTTATGAGGAGAAATCTTTTCACACAGCGAGTTGTTCGGATCTGGAGTGCACTGCCTGAAAGGGTGGTGGAAGCAGATTCGATAACAACTTTCAAGAGAGAAGTAGAAAGATATTTGGGGAGGACAAATTTGCAGGACTGTGGGGAGAGTGCGGGGGAGTGGGATTGATTTAGACAGCTCTTTCAAAGAGCCGGCACAGACACGATGCCAACAGCTTCCTTCTATGATTATATAAATCCACCTATGAAGTGCTTTGAGACATCTCAGCAAAGTGATATGGCACTAAACCAAATATAAGGATTATTATTAAGACTAAGTTAACGTGCACCAATACGGAGGCGCTGAGAATTAATGGCTTACAGAAACCACCTCCTTGCATTGGTTTTGACAGCTGGAATCCAACCTGATCAACGTCATTGATTGACTTACACAAAGCTTTTCAGGGTGGTTTGCTGGGAAGACCAACCTTATTACAACATTCTAGATCACTCGCCTCGCAAGCGAGAGGACCCAGGTTCGGTTCCCGGGCAGGACGAAACGTTGGGAAAGTTTCCTTACTCCACACACACTTACTCTGTTTACCCAGCAGTAAATAGAGACCGGTTATTAGTCGATTGTCAGATCGCTTTTCCTTCAAAAAATAATAATAATTTGATCATTCAATCCACGACTGTTTGTAGAACACTGCTGTGAGGAGTTGGCTGCCAGGCTTTACCCACAAAATATACAGTCAATTCACTTTACAGTATATTCTGTGAAGCACTTTGAGACGTCTCAAAGACATGATAAGGCACTGTATCAAACGCAAGGATTATTATTATTATATACTGAATACTGATACTGATCTGGAGAAAGCACAGTGGCTGAATTTGCAGATGACACAAAACGAATGAAGGTGGTAGACTGCAAAGCTGAACAGGATAGGTTACAGGTGGACTTGAACATATTTGGCAATTGGGCAGATCGGTGGCAGATGGATCCAATGTAGAGAAATGCAAAGTGCTTCACGTGGGGACAAAAAATACCAAGAAGAGAATGATTACTTAAATGGAAAGAAAATAATCAGTATGGAAAATGAAAAGGACTTTTTTGACAATAAATTGAAGCTATCGCAACGGTGCTCGATAGCAGTGAGCAAGGCAAATCAGATGCTGGGTTGTATTAAAAAGGCGATATTGAGCCGAAATAGTGCCACTTTATAAATCACTGGTGCGACCGCACTTGGAATACTGTGTGCCGTTCCAAGCACAGTGTGTAATCGAGTGACCTGTTGAAGACCTCAGAATATATTTACTTTCCTTTGTGAACTTTGCGCATGATGTGAGAACGTTTTTTGTTGACCTATCCAGTTCCCAGTGGAAGAAAGTTCTGATCGGCCTTCCCGACTCTGTTGGTAACGAGAGAAACAGTTTAGACCTCGCGAGCAGTCTCTGTTCCCATTTGATGAATGAAAACCAGAAGGTGTTACAGAAGGTGAGACTGTTTTTTTTTGTGAGTGGGAAATCAGGCTCCCTCAGGAGACAGCGGAAGTAGAAAGCGTTGATTTGTTCAAATGCAAAATAGGTATCTTTTAGAAAATAATATTTTGGGATACATGATAGCAGTCGTTTGAGACATGGCAGGTGTAGTACGCTTGGAAGACCGAGGTAAGCTTGGATCTAATGTTCCCAAAGCTTTCCATTGTGGGCATTCAGTGAGGATGACCTGAAGCAGGGAGTAATCAATACTGTTAGAGCATCATTATTCACTGCCTCGGACAGGTTTGGTGGCCTACTCATTGGGTTTTGTTCCCTGTGCCCCCTCCTTCCCCCCCCCACCCCGACCCTTTTATCTTTTACAGATTTACAAACTGATGAGCAATAGAACCGAGCTTTTAGAACAGCTGGATCTGGTTGCAAAGCTGAGAGAGGAAGAAAGGAAGATACTGCAAGCTTCATTGGTCATATTGCAGCGTTTGAGGAATACAACCACAAGCTGATGGTCTGAGGGGCATGTCCTGGGATGGTGACAGGTGGCCTCCCACCCCATGGTGAATGGCTAAATTGGAGATGGTTCAGTTTAACAAGAATAGCAAGTTGGGGAGGAACAGCTACACAGACTTCACATTCCACCAAACACTGGGGCCACAAAACATACAGTCAATTCACTTTACAGTATATTCCGTATTCTAGAAGACGTGATAAGGCGCTGTATCAAATGTATGTATTATTATTATAACAACTTGTAGCAGTCTTCTAGTGGGATAGCATCCCAGGGCGCTTGACAGTGGAGGAGTCTGATAACAAGCCAGAGAAGGAGAGGGAGTGGGGAAGATGACCGTAAGCACCATCAAAAAGGGAGGTCTTTAGGGGGGATTTGAATGTGGGGAAGGAGGGAGGAGACAAGGCGGAGGGATTGAGGGAGAGACATCCAGAGTTTCGGCTGAAGTGCCTGAAGGCACAAGTATATGGGTATATGGTTATCTGTGGATGATGTGGAATTTTTCCGTGAAACAATGGAGGAGGTGATTTTACAGATGCACCGCACGTGGTCTCTCCTGAATTCCTCACTGTAGCCATGATGTTGTGAGGTGCGAGATGACATCCCAGGGACCTCTCAGTTGGTTAAGCACTGGGAATAGTAGGTCTTGCGTTGGAATCCTAGTGAATTCATCAAGTGCTTCGAGCCTGTTCAGAAAATACCCACAGACAGTGGACGGACGTATAGATGTACTTATAACCTCTCTGAGTTTGAGCTGGCTGTTGGGAACTTCCCTGGCAAAACCAGACAGGTTGTACCCTGCAAGCCAAAGCCCTAACAGGTAGGGTGGTCCTAGCTGGACAAGCGGCAGGAAAAGCTTGCCAGTCAGCGATATCAATGGCAAGCTATGTGGTTTTAGTTGGTTAGACTACAGAAGTTACACCCAGCACACTCTGGGCTCCCACCAAGCCTTGGCTCTTGCCAACCTGCGCCTAATACTTTCCGGAATTAGGTAAACAGGATACGTCCCTCCAGGGAGAGAGAGAGAGAGAGAGAGTGCGCGTTCCATTACAACAACCTATCTCTGGGATTTCCATGAGTAGGTGGGATGCATGGAATTCTCAGCTTGGTTTGGAGACTCTTAAGTAACGGTGATGAGTTTCCGCATGTGTCAAGACACCCGGCTGACCCAAAAAAACAATCGTTGGAGGGCACAGACATGTCTGCACAGGGAGGGTCGCTAGGAGGGAGGGAGATACAGAGGGAATGATCAATCCGCAGTGATCCAACACACTGTCCTGTCCCTCAAGCAATATAAACTGGGTACGTATTGGAATGCTGTTCCCACAGTTTATGACTTTGTCAATACTCTCATGGTTACTGCTCCAGATGGAAAAAATATTTCTGTTTCTGTATTTGTTACCCTCGCCTAACAATTAATTACTTTAATTTTTCTAACTGGTGTTTTTATTCTCCTCGAACGCATGTAACTGAAGTTTAACAGTGCCAATTTTTGTTCTGCACCATGACAACTTAATAAATCGCATTCATGTTGGCACTTTTAAAAGGTTTGACATAAAGTCCTGTAGCTCAAGATCTGGGTTTGATTCCCGGGCAGAGTAAAACGTTGGGCAAGTTTCCTTGCTCCACACGCCTGTTTATCGAGCAGTGAGTAGGAACTTGGTTGTTAGTCAATTGGCAGATCGCTTTTCCGGGGATAATAATTCCTTCAAAAAAATAATAATTTGGCCACTCAATCTACGACTTTATGGGACACTGCTGTGCCCACAAAATACAGTCAACTCACTTTGAAGTATATTCTGTGAAGCGCTTTGAGACATCTCGAAGATGTGATTTCGCCCTGCCGAGAATCAAACCCAGGTCTCTCGCTTGCGAGGCGAGTGCTCTAATCGCTGAGCTACAGGACTCCACAGAAGCTTTTTAAATATGACCTGGGTTGTGGTAATGATGACCTTTCCACTATGTGAAACTGTGAAGAAATACTAAGCATCAGGAGAACTACTGGTGCTTTTCCAAGCGAGTTCTATTGACAGTTTTGGCACGGAGGAGGAGAGAACCATCTGAAATTCTCTTGTGTCAGGACAACAGTTGAATCGGGCATTGTTTCCAGACTTCAGAGTAGATTAAACACACAAGGTTAAAAGTGACCCGTTTCCTTGAAACGCAGAATGAGGAATAGATTATTTACCATGGTTGGGACATCAGAGGATAAAGGAAAATAATTCTTGCACAACAAGCTTTAAAGGGCAGTCTGTCAATTTTTTTAAAAAAAAATGATCATTGAGAGAAACGGGCAGAAGGAGCTTTTTAACAGAACCTGGGCTTGTGAATGTAAAATATCGATCACATTCACACCGTTGGCAAAAAAAAAACAGGTTTAGATTTACTCTGTGCTGCTTTACAGTGTCTAAAGTTTAGCATTTTAAAAAAAACGAGGCCTTAATTTTAAATTTAGATTCTGTAGTTAAAAATGAAGACTGAATTCAACAACTTGCTGAATTCTGGATGCTATAAAATATGACATAAGTACAGTAACTGCTGATCCACGTACTACTTTGCCCCAAATGCCAGACCCAGGTTAAGCAAACAATTATCTTCTCCATTTGTGCTAAAGCGAATGTCAAATAATAATGTATTTGTTTGGAATCTACAGTTTTTAATTAAAGAGCTGCCAAAGCTAACAGTGGATCCAGTTGGATTCTGCTTCCCCGGGGAACTGAGGTCTAACTGAGTTAATGCATATAACCCTTTGAAAACAATAGCCCATGTTTCTTCTCCCCCTCCTCCCAAACTCCATAACTTGATGGGTAACCTCAAGCAGGTTGGAGCTCAGTGGGCTCCAACCTGCTTGAAGTCCCCCGCCTTGCCCACCCCACCGTTGGCAGGCGGGCAGGCAGGCTTTCAGCCTCTCTGCCCCTACCCGCTGGAACTCTATTCCAGAAAGCATACTATCCTTGAAGAAAGCCTTTGCGTCTCTTTCAGTTTATCTGGTTTGTCAGGACTGTTTGTGTGGGACATCACTGTGCGCAATTGGCTGCCGCATTTCGCCCTCAAAATACAGAGTCAATCGCTTTACAATCTATTCTGTGAAGCGCTTTGAGATGTCTCAACGATGTGATAAGGTGCTATATCAAAAGGATTATTATTATTATTATCCGATTGTCAGGGGAGGGGGGTTCACAAACATTAGCTGCCAGAGTCTGGAATAGAAATAGCTGGGTCAATGTGAATATCGAGTCAAATTGAAAGACGTACAATGTACCATCAATGGGTTTCACAGTAACACTTTATTCAAGTCATGCCACCTCGGTCTCCGGTCTTTTATGTGACGATGCACAAACTGTTGGGGGCCCTTTTGCTTTCCTCCGTTTGAAACAAAGGCGGATCCTGCCTGAGTGCCAACTTGTTCAGAGTTGCCTGAATTACTTGAAAGAATGGCATTTGGGCTTTTGTTCGGAGGAGTTGCTGGTCAGAGAAGCGAGGATGAGAAAGGACCACCTTGCACCCGAATCAGCCACGCCACGCAACAGACCACAGCAAAGTCGCTTAGCAGAGTGCATCGGGCTCCAAATCTTCCCTCCGAATTGCATTTCACTTTAACTAGATCCTGGTAATCCTGTACTGTAAAGGTCAGCAGCCATCTAACCTAATCAATTCTATGCAACCATTTGAGAGTCTCGATAGAGCAGTCAATCATCTCTCCTCCGATAAAGGAACTGGACCCACAGGAACAGCTCATCCATTAGAAGTTGCAGGAGGCGGGGAGGGGGCGTTTGGGTGAAAAGGAAACATAAAACAGCTCTCGAACATTAGCGGCAACGACTACCACAGACGAGGTCGAGCAGCAGACGCTGAACTTTGCGAGCTGAGTTGGGGGGGAAAAAAAAACGAACTGGAAGGTTAAGAGAAATCACATCCTCAGCAAGAATCTCACAGGATTTGAGAAAAGCAGTTCACGGTTGGCTTCTGAAATAGTCTTTACCACAAGAGATGCGTGGTCTGCACCCAAACATTGCATTGTTGTGGCCTTTCTAATACAAAAAAAAGCTTCTGTGATTCTAAGGTACGAGAATGGAAATGACAAGTCAAAATGAACCTGCAGTCAGCGAAAATTCTACATTCACTGAAAACACTCGTCGCACGACACCGGCTTCAGAGCTGAACGACCTGTCTCTTTTTAGCTTGGTTCTTCTGAACCATCTCCATGACGACTGTGGCTTCATATAATGGAATGGGTTCATCCAACTGAGGCCTAAAAAAGGGAAACAGCAGTTTGTAAATGTCTAGAAAGTGCCTCCACCGAACCTTATACGCTTCTCTGCTAACCCACCCGGCCCCCAACTCGCAAACGAGACAATACGCACTTCTTAAAGCATTTAAAGAATTGTTCTCATTTTTTCCCACCAACCAATGTGTGTGTTAAGAACAATCGCGTGCGACTGGGCAAACATTGAATGTCTGATTTCCTTTGTGTATCGGGAAAACTACTGTGTAACACATCCCATCTTTGGATAGATTACATTGCAGAGAGAGAGAGGCCCTTCTGTCCCTGGACTAAACGTTCCATCACTGACTTGTTACACAAACTCTTTTCAGACTGATTTCGGGAAGAGCAAACTGGCAAATCTCACGATCTCTCCTGTAGCTCAAGGGTTAGAGCACTCGCCTCACAAACGATAGGACCTGGGTTCAATTTCCAGCCAGGGCGAAATCGAAACATAGGGCAAGTTTCCTTACTCCACACGCCTCTGTTTACCTAGCAGCAAGTAGGAACCCAGTTATCAGTTGATTTAGCAGAACGCTTTTCTTGGGTAAATAATTCCTTCAAAAAAATGATAATAATTTGGTCACTCAATCCACGACTGTTTGTGGGATGCTGCTGTACGCAATTGACTGCCGTGTTTTGCCCGCAAAACATAGTCAATTCATTTTATAGTATAGTCTGTAAAGCGCTTTGAGATGTGATAAGGTGCTATTTCAAATGCAAAGATTATTACCTGAAGATTCCACTGGACAGCATCTCCATCACATCCTTCAAAATATCTAAGCAACATGGTTCAGGCGCAATGAACCCGAATTGGAAAAACAAAATATCACACCAATCAATTGGAAAACCATGAGTTAAAAACACATAACATGTCCCCATTCTCTATGATGGGGTTGCAAACAAAAAAGGATCTATAGATCATAATAATAATCTTTGCATTTGATATACTTGTTAAAAGATTAATACAACACAAATATGTTACCATTTATCTTGAAATAAATGATTGCACACAAAATATAGTCAACCCACTTTACAGCATATTCTCTGAAGCGCTTTGAGACATCTCAACGCCATGATAAGGCGCTATGTCAAATGCAAAGATTATTATTATCGTTGTCATCATCACAGGGTATGACTGGCTACTTAGAAAACTTGTGCTTCCTACAAGATGAAGCTCTTAACAAACAGCATTTGTATAGCGCCTTTCACGTCAGGAGGACGTCCCAAAACAATGGGACGTCCTCCTGACGTGAAAGAATGGAGTCAAATCCTAATGATTTTAAATGCAAAATTGTGGTGCACAATGCAATTAATTATCATCGGAGATAATCATCACAAAATCTGTTTTAGCCCTCCCAAACAGTGTTATGGATCCACTGCAGAAACAGATTCTGTAAATTAGTTATTTGGTGTAAGGGAGGGTGGAGGGGAGGGAGGGTGGCCGAAGGCTAATTCTTCCTCTATTTTACATTGGTATGCCTATCACAATAGAGTGAGACCTTGATGCCATACAAAGTTTAACAGCTAGGACACTTCCAGCTTTGGTTTCATAAGAACATAAGAATTAGTAGCAGGAGTAGGCCATTCGGCCCCTCGAGCCTGTGCCCCGACATTCAATAAGATCATGGCTGATCTTCAGATCTAACTCTGATTACCTGCCCTATCCCCATATCCCCTAATCCCTCTGTTTTTTAAAAATCTATCAGTCTCAGCCTCGAAGATGTTCAAGGACTGAGATCTACAGCCTTCTGGGGCAGTGAATTCCATAAATTCACTACCCTCTGAGTGAAGAAATGTTTCCTCAACTCTGTTCTAAAAGGCTGACCCTTAATTTTCAGACTGTGACCCCTGGTTATAGAATCTCATACCAGGGGAAGCAGTCCCTCAGTGTCTACTTTATCAGCCCTTTAAGAATATTATATGTTTCAATAAGATCTCCCCTAATTCTTCTGTCCTCTAGAGAATACAGCCCCAGTTTATTCAGTCTATCCTCATAGGTCATTCCTCTCATCCCAGGAACTAACCGAGTGAATCTACGCTGCACCCCCTCCAGGGCACATATGTCCTTTTTTAAATAAGGACCAAAACTGCACACAATACTCTCGGTGCGGTCTCACCAAGGCCGTATACAGTTGCTTTATCAAAATGCACAAAGCTCAATTCTAAGGCTGGATACGGCTTCTCTCACCTGCCTTCCCTAACTGCCCAGCTCTGCCTAGGTAAACCTGGGCTTCTTAATCCGTTAACTCTCAACCCAAAAGGAAATGGCCACAGACACATTTTAAAAGTAGACACATCAATATTAAAATGTCAAAATAGAACCTGTTGTGCATTCAGCATCTGTGCCCCCGCACTCTGGAACTCTATCCCGCAATCCCGCTGCCTCACCCCCTCTCTCGCCTCCTTCAAGTCCCTTCTAAAGATCTTCCTGTTCGACCGTGCCAACTCCCAGTTCGGGTCAAAAAAAAACCCTGACTGTCCAGCGCCCTGGCACGTCTTTCTGACGTGAAGCGTGCTGTACAAGTGTAATTTGTTGCTGTCGTCGTTGCGATAAATAGCCCCGGGTGATGATGTGGGGTAAAAAGGAAAGGTTGTTCTTTAGAAGAGTCAACACAGACACGATGGGCTGAATGACCTTATTCTGTGATTTAAATTCCTGTATGGTGATGCAGGAAGGGTTCTGGATAGGGTATGCCTCACATTGCTCAATTTCACGTCAAATTGGAAACGTTTGAGCCCTCATTATCCTGCTTTCCGGGATCACTGATTGGCATCAGTTCGGTGGCCTGGGTTGCTAGGAAAGGATACGCAGGTATTTGCCTTGCTGTGCGCTTGACATTTGCCACACTTCTTCATTCAGGAAAGAAATGGTTGCTCCCTTAAGAAACAGCATTCGACTGTCCGGTGGATCCAGCTGAGAAAATAGGAATGAGCAGGTTTGAACACATATCAGGTAATAATCCAAAGGTAATAGTTTCACACTTCTGAACATTTCAATTGCCTTCATCCTTCTGCCTGTGTTAGTTTGGCTCAGCTGGTGATGTGCACATACATACATTGGCTACACATGCTTGGAATTCTGTAGCTCAGTGGTTAGAGCACTCGCCTGGCAAGCGAGAGGGCCCGGGTTCGATTCCCAAGTTTCCTTACTCCACACACCTTTGTTTACCTGGCAGTAAATAGGAACCCGGTTGTTAAGTCGAATAGCAGATTGCTTTCCGGGGGTAATAATCCCTTCAAGAACAAAATAATAATAATAAATTGGTCACTCAATCCACGACTGTTTATGGACACAGGTGTGCACAATTGATTAACTATTTTCACCCACAAAATACAGTCAATCCACTTGACTGTATATTCTGTGAAGCGCTTTGAGACGTCTCGAAGACGTGATACGGTGCTGTACCAAACGCAAGGATTATTATTATCAACATTACTTGAAAGAACATATGCAAAATATGAATGACTCCTTTTCCCTTTGGTATTCAAGCCTTCGTGGTCTTGCTCCTCCCTATCTCTGCGACTTAATAAACCTTGACCAATCTATTCGCTCCCTCTGCTCAGCGGGCACTGGGTTACTCTACGTCCCCTGCCCAGGTGTCTCAGGCCTTCAGTCTTTCTGCCCCCACCCTTTGCAGAGCTTCTCCCCCGGTGGCTCCCTGGCCTCCTTCTTGTAATAATAATTCTTGCATTCGATATAGCACTCTATCACGTCTTCGAGACGTCTAAAAAGAGCTTCACAGGATATACTGTAAAGTGAATTGACTGTATATTTTATGGGCGAAACGCGGCAGCTGATTGCGCACAGCAGCGTCCCATAAATGATTGTGGATTGAGTGACCAATTTTAAATTTTTTTCTTTGAAGGAATTATTACCCCCAGAAACTTGCCCACATTTCACCCTGCTGGGAAATCAACCCAGGTCTCTCGCTTGCGAGGCGAGTGCTCTAACCACTGAGCTACAGGACTCCACCAACATCTTCAAATTCCACCTCAAGACCTTCCTCTTTGGCCAAGCCTTCGGTCATATTCCTACCTCAACCCTCCATTCACCTCCGCGCCCTACCCCCTTGCCCTCTGCCGCCCCCCCTGTCCTCCGTTCCCCTCCCTCCCCAATTTTTCTCTTTGACCGTGCCTTCAGCTCCCCTCTTGACTCTCTACCCCCTCTTCGCTCCCTCCCTTCCCTCCCCTCACCCTGACCGTTTCCCCCCTGCTCGGGTCCTGACCCAACTGTACAGCGCCTTGGGACGTCCTCCCGACGTGAAAGGCGCTCAATAAATGGAATCTTGTTGTTGTTGTTGCCCTCCGCCCCCACCCTTACCCTCGACCTCCATCGATTCCAGACCCCAGTTCGAATGCAAACCCTTCACTGTCCAGCGCCTTGGGATATCCCCCCCGACATGCAAAAAGTTAATAACTTATAAAATGATCTGTTGTTACACAGGTTCTCACTTGGCCTCCTTTCCACTATCGGCGGCTGTGCTTTCAGCTGCTAGGCCTGAAACTCTGGAACACTCTCCCTCAATCCCTCTGCCTCGCTGTCAAGAGTTCTGGGACTCTGCCCCGCGTAAAGGGCGGTGTATAAATGCAAGTTGTTGTTTTCTGGGATTACCTGCAGATTCTCCTCTGTTGTTACCCAATGTCCTGCAACAGCCAGAAGACTGAGGATTTCGTGCTTGTGGGACAGATGCTGCTGTCCGTCTGGCTTATCTTCCTTCCCGGAGAGCTGCACTGTAACACAATAGCAAAGTGTTCGGCCTATCCCAATACACACCAGCGGATAAAGCATAAAGATTCCAAATATAGATGTTCTATCGCCAATGACAGGATCTCGCTGTCCATCTGGGTGGTTTAAAAATACTGATCACAACCATACACCCCAATCACACCAATCCTTGCCAGGCCCCACTGGCTCCCAATCACCGAACAGATCCTCTCACTTGTTTTCAATTGGCTTTATTCTTTCGCAACTCCCTACCTACCCGCTTATCCGCCACTACACCACCGGCTGCCTCTGCTTGGCTGGTTCCGGCCTCCTATTTGTCTCTCGTCCCCTCCGCTCCACCAGCCTTCAGCCACTATGCCCCGAAACTCTAGAACTCTCTCCCTCAATCGCTCTGCCTTGGCCTCTTCCTTCCCACCTTCAAATCCCACTTAAAGACCTTTCTTTTTTGTCGTGCTTATGGTCATCTCCCTCACACCCTCTCCCCTTAGCTCGTTGCCAGTCACCATGTGAAGTGCTCTGGGACACTACCCAGTGCTATATAAATGCAAGTTGTCATCGCTGTCATCCCCTCAAGTGGTTTTGTTGCCAAAATTCTTACATAATTCCTGTGTCCACCAAAAGGCTTCCCTCTCTTTTTTTTAATATTTGCAATGTCAAACAGGATCAGTAAGAAAAAAGAATTTGATCAGATCTGTTCTGTTGAGAGCACTGCAGTGTCAAGGCCACGAGCTAAAAGCTGTAACTTCTGAATATTTTCAAAGTCTACTCCTTTATTTTAAACAACAACAAATGACATCTACGCAGCGCCTTTTACGTCGGGAGGATGTCCCAAGGCGCTGGACAGTCATTTGGACCCGAGCTGGGGATTGGGATCAGGAGGTGTGGAGGGCAGGGAGGGTGGGGGTAGGAGAGTGATCGAAGACGCGATCGAAGAGGAGGGTCTGGAGATAGACCTTGAAGAAGGCAAGGGAGGGAGCGATTCGAAGGGACTATGGAATGGAGTTCCAAAAGGTGGGGGCAGAAAGGCTGAAGGCGATGGTGGGGCGGGTCTGATGGAGGACATGGAGAAAGCCGGAGGCCACTGAGCGGAGGGGCCAACATGGAGTTATCGAGTCACAGAGGTAGAGAGGAACAAGGCCATGGAGGACTTTGTAGGCGAGGACGATTTTGAACTCTATCCTCTGGGTGATGGGGAGCCCAAAACTCCACACACCCAGCCTTGGTCAAGAGAGTGAACAGGTTGCATCACACTCTGACTGCTTGCTTACTGTGGCTGAAGGTTGCATGGCTAATAATAAATTGGTCACTTCAATCCAAGACTGGGACACTGCTGTGGCAATTGGCTGCCGCATTTCGGCCACAAAATATACAGTTAATTCATTTTATAGTTTATTCTGTGAAGCGCTTTGAGAAGTCTCGAAGAAGTGGTAAGGCACTATATCAAATGCAAGTATTATTATGTGGTGCCAACTCCTGTACTGCTCTCTGCCTTTACCCAACAGCCTCAATTTCCCCATTCTCTCCTTGCTCGGCTCATCCCCAGGTATTGTGAGACTCTCTAAGATCTTCATCCTCTGGGAAATAAATGCAAGTTGTTGCTGACACTGCACACCGCTCCACCAAGGCACTATGCCACAGCGCAGCTTAGCAATTCGCTGTTTCTTTCATTCAGGCATCGTCAGCGCCTTGGGACCTCCTCCCGACGTGAAAGGCGCTCTATAAATGGAATCTTGTTGTTGTTGTTGTCCAGATCCAAAAATCAAGTTGACTTTACAGAGGAAGTTAAAACCACTGTTTTAACAACAAAATCCAACACTTTGTCTACTGACAATGTCGAGTGCGAGATATTTGAGCGTTTCACTGCAGTTTACATATCCAAATCCTTAATCTGAAACCAAATGAAATTGAAGCACCTCATCCCTGAATCCTTCGACAAATGGATGATTTGAAACACGTTCATGGATGATTTGAAAACAAGAGAAATTAATGGCAGCAGCATGTCACCAATACAAAAAAATGAAAGATTTACAAAGATGGTGTGTACTAAAAATGGAGCCAATGTGAGGAGTACACACCTCCGCAATCCACCACAATATCCACTCCCAGACCAGCCGTCTCTTCCAAGCAGGCGTCCACAAGGTTTGCCTTCTTCTCAGATCTGTCAATGACCCTGGCTGCGAGAGACAATCAACTGACATTAGACAAGAGTTATTGGTAATAAACAATAAACAGGATATAAACAAGAATAACAAATTACTTGTATAGCATCAGGAGGACGACCCAAAGCGCTGGGATCCACATCCGAGCTGGCGGTTGGAAGTGGAGGATGGGGAGGGTAGGAGCAGGAGAGTGACCAAAGGCATGGTCAAGAGGAGGGTCTTGAGAAGGGTCTTAAAGGAGACAAGGGAGCGCTCTGGGACACTACCCTGCGTGAAGGGCGCTGTATAAAGTTGTTGTTGTTCTGATCGACGGCTCCAGATATCCAGAAAACAACTCTGGCTTTGTTTATTTGGTTAGATTTTATGTTTTGTAGCGTTTGGAATCCTTTGCACGTTGACTTTCAGCAGGTTAAAATGAGATAAACCAGTTTAAAAACGGAAGGACTTTTGCCTCATCGCTTTGAAACTGTTCAGAAATAAAACATCACATATGGGTAGAAATGATGACTCATGAACTTAAGTGACAGCCTCAACTAAGTGAGACTGATCACCAATTGCACAGCCAGCTCTGAGGGTTTGGTTAAACAGGATAAACAAGTACAAAAATAATCAGTTGATCACCACATATATAGGGCTCAGCCAACTGATTTTAGTGATTTATTGACAGACCTACTAAATTTCTTAAATAATAATTGAATCACTTCAAGAGAATTCATGAATATGGCAATATTAACGGTTGAATGAGCGGATATCAAGCTACGAAGCAATCATTTATCATACTCGAGACGGATTATGTCCTGTGGATAATTCAGAAAACAACAACAGCAAACGTATGAACTGAAGACCAAGAGTACGGGTTTGGCTTGGCTTCGCTGACTCAGTCTCAGCGGGCTGCTGCATAAGTGGGTCTGAAGGAATAAATCGAGAGTGTGTGCGTGCAATTTACAATTAGACTTTGACTAATCCGTTAACAGTATTACATTTAGATATGTATCCCAGAGGCTGGTAACTTTAAAGGTAAAGGCACATGGAACCATCAACTCCTGCCCTATGTACAATTGCTTCTTCATCACTTTTGTTGCCCTTGCTCCCATCACTTTCAGAACCGTCTCCTACTCATGGAAGTCACCATGGTGCACCAGCCACCTGGAATGGTTCAGCTCCTACCTCTCACACCGTCTCCACTTCATCTCCACAAACTGCTTCTCCTCTAGCCCCCGCATCGTCTTGTGCAGCATTCCTCAGGACTCTGTCCTTGGTTCCCTTCTCTTCAATATCTCTATGCTCCCTCTTGGTGACATCATCTGCAGACATAGGGTCAACCTCCACATGTATGCGGATGACATCCAACTCTACCTCTCTGCCTCCACCCTCGACTCCAGGACTCACAGCTGCCCTGACAGAATGTCTGTCAGACATCAAGTCCTGGATGAGAGTTGACTTTCTACAGTTGAATGTCAACAAAACCAAGGCTCTCCAGATTAGCTTCCGTCAGCGCCTCCTCACCTCAGGCGCTGACAGCATCACCATCCATGGTTGCTCACTCCTCCTCACTGAGCCAGTCCGGAACCTTGGGGTCTTGTTTGACCCTCAACTCTCCTTTCTACCCACATCTACGCCTTGACCCGCTCTGCCTTCCCCCACCTCCGCAACATCGCCCGGCTCCACCACTGTTTCACACCGCAGACCTCTGAAACCCTCAACCCTCATTACATCCAGGCTCGACTACACAAACTCCCTGCTTATCGGCCTCCCCACTCCTCCCACCATAGGCTGCAGATCATCCAGAACTCTACAGCCCGTGTCCTCACTTTCAAAGCCCTCCATGGCCTTACTCTCCCCTACCTCTGCGACCTCCTAACCGCCTACCAACCTGCCTGCTCCATTCGCTCAGCAGGCTCCGGCCAGCTTCACGTCCCCCGTCTGGTCCATCCCACCATCGGCAGGTGGGCCTTCAGCCTCTCTACCCCCACCAGCCTGCAGTCGCTTTGCCTTATCCCCTCCTTTGCCTTCTTCAAAACCTGTTTCAAGACCCTCCTCATCGACCATGCCTTCCTTCACTCTCCTTCCCTCCCTGCCCTCTACCCTCCCGACATGAAAGGGGCTACACAAATGAAATTGTTGTTGTCGTTTTCTTTCTGCAGTTCTCAGCTAGTTTCTTTCTGCACAATCTCGGTGCTCAAATCCCTCTCTCCCCCTCAACCCAGCTATCTTGCTTTGTAAATTCAGACAATCACAATGTAAGAATAACTTGAAGCAGTGGGCAACATTATTATATTTAAGAAAACCCTCAAAAGAGATGTCTCGAAGACGTGATAAGGCGCAATATCAAACACAAGGGTTATTGTTATTATTATTCTTAAAGGATTGATAAGGCGCTATATCAAATGCAAGGATTATTTTTATTAATAAAAGATTTAAGTGAGAATTGCATATTTACCAATTGCATATTTTTACTATATCAAATGCAAGAATAATTTCACATTTTGATCATTTGCAGTAAAGTGAGGTTATTTTTGAAGTCTGCAGCCTCAATGTTATTATTAATTTGTATGAGCTTTTCAAACAGTTAACATGAAGCAACCAAGGCTGAGCCAATAATAATGATCCTTGCATTTGATGTAGCATCTTATCACGTCTTCGAGCCATCTCAAAGCCCTTCGCAGGATACACTGTAAAGTGAATTGACTATATGTTTTGTGGGCGAATGGTGCTTGACAAGGAATTGGCGTTCTATTGCTCGACCGAAAACAGAGCATGAGTCAGTGAGTGAATGAATCCACCAGCCCATGAAGTGGAAACAGCGTCTGGTGGGTAATACATCTCTCCAGATGCACCAGACACTGAAGCTGTTCCATTCCAGTCGCTCCATTTGTTTCCCGAAAGTAATTATTTATGTTAAAGGGCTAGTGTCCTAACAAGACCTTTCACCTCTCTCATAAACACGACTGGGTAGAAAGTGTGATTGACAACGAAACTGCACACTTCCATCTGTTATTACAAAGATTTTTATACCCATTTTTCCTCTTCTCTCTGGAACTCATTTTTACTTCAACTGGGTTACAGTCCTTACTGACAGCCTCAAATATTTCATGCAAGTCATCTTGATAGCTATTGGCAGGGTATTCATCCCAGGAATCATCTGACACCCATGTACGTGCATATTCCAGCGTGTGCTTCTCTGGATAGTCACCGTATCGCTGGATAATTTTACCCTTCCCTCACATAGGGAGCTGAGGCTGATTGCATGGCGATTGCCCTCACACGTCTCTACCTCTCCGATTTGCTTACCCCTCACTCCACCACCCGCTGCCTCCGCTCGGCTGGCTCTCTCATCCCCTCCACTACCGGTGGAGGTGCCTTCAGCCACTACGTCCCGAAACTCTGGAACTCTCTCCCTCAATCCCTCTGCGCTGCCCTCTCCTTCCCCACCTTCAAATCCCAGCTGAAGACCTTCCTTTTTGATCGTGTTTATGGTCACCTCCTGCCTCCATGTCCCCCTGGCTCGAGGTCAGACTCCGCCACTGTCAAGCACTCCAGGATGCTACCCAGTGTGAAGGGCACAATATAAATGCAAGTTGTTGTTGTTGCTGTTGGTTGCTGGCTGAGCTAAGTCAGTGGATCTGGATTGAAACCTACCCTAGAGTTTTCCTTCACTAAACTAATCTGATATACACAGGGAGGCTAAGTGAAGGGAAGGCATTCTTGGGTTGGGAAGAAGATAAATCTTTAGTATATTTCGACAACTGCCCTCTGATTATTTATGTAAACAATGATGTGGTGAGGAGAAAATGCATGGCCCATCAGAGGAAAGCTGGGGGTGGGGGAGGGGGGGTGCGGGGAGAGGGGGAACAACAATGAGGGGGAAGAGGGACGAGGGTGCATGGTTTGTTAGGATCAGTGATAGCGATAAATCACCCAAAGTAAATAAGCAAAGTCAAGAAATCGGGACAAAATATTCCAAAATGAAATACTCTATCAGTGCAATCATCATTTTCCCAGCAGAATATTCTTGGGCACATAAATACGAAGGGTAAATACTGCTGAATTAGGTTATGTTGACAAATGAGCACTGCTATGAAGAAAGACTTGATCATCAGTCACAGACGTCTGCGCACAACAGGCACCAATAAAATCCTCCAGATAAATTCTAAATCTTCCTGGACCAGACAGAGTCCCAATGGTTTGAATAATTACAGCAGGGGGAATAATGAAAGGATAGAAATGTACGTTTTTACAGATTCTGCAGTTAGCTGCGATTTGAACACAGAAGTTTTACAGAAATTGAGATTCAGATTCCTCTTAAACAGCGACTTACCGACTAAAGGTTGTCTGATGCCTTCCGAAATGCAGCCATAATTAGAGCAAGGGCATGGGGAGTCAAAAGAGAATAAGGTGAGGGCCTGGAAAATGATGCATCACAGCAACAACAAATTACATTTGATTGCGCCTTTCACGTCAGGAGGACGTCCCAAGGCGCTGGACAGTCAGGAGATCTGCACCCGAGCTGGTGATTGGGTTCAGGAGGAGGGGAGGGCAGGGGTAGGAGGGTGACTGAAGGCGCAGTCGAAGAGGAGGGTCTTGAGACAGGTCTTGAAGGAGGTAAGAGAGAGGGCGAGACAGAGGGACTATGGGATGGAGTTCCAGAGGGTGGGGGCAGAGAGATTGAAGGTTAATGGTGGGGCAGGTGGATGTAAAGCAGGCCGGAGCCCGCTGAGCAGAGGGGAGCGAGGTAGGAAGGAGCGAGTCCGTGGAGGGCTTTGAAGGCGAGGACCAGGATCTTGATCTCTATCCTCTGAGAATGGGGAGCCAGTGAAGACAATTCAGTCGCGCAACATTACAGCATGATTCAAATCCTGCAGTCTAGGTGTAACAAACATTTTTACAGAAGATTAGAAATCTAAATGGACGATAGAAAGAGCATCTTAAATTTGTAAACCAGCACATTTGCCCATGCATTTAACGGTGATGCATATTTGCCCATGCATTTAACGGTGATGCATATTTGCCCATGCACTTAACAATGTGAACAGAGATTATATTATAAAATCAAATAATCATAATATAATCACTGATTAATTATTTAATTTTATCTTAATTGATACGACCTGAGTTTTGATCAGAGACCGACTTGGAACGCAGGCCAAAAGATGACTTGGGAGGACAGACAGTGGAGGTGTGAAATGTCAGAATTAAATAGTCGGTACTGAGTGACACTTTAATAGTCCTTGAACTATTTGCAAACCAAAATATAATAAAAATCTCCCACAGATGGTTATCCGAGGCGAGGCAGATCCCTGGCTGTTTCTTTTAAATAGTAAGGTAAATAATAAAATAATAATAATCCTTGAATTTGCTATAGTGTCTTATCACATCTTCGAGACGTCTCAAAGGGCTTCACAGAACATACTGTAAAGTGGATTGATTGTTTTTTTTGTGGACGAAACGCCCCAGCCAACTGTACACAGCAGCCCCACGAAGAGTCATGGATTGAGTGACCAAATTCTTTTTATTTAATTTTATAGGGAATGTGTAGGGAATTGTGATGAGGAGAAATGATTTCACTGGAGGAGCAGACATTGACTTTAATACAATATCATTGATTTCTATGGTTTCTGCCAAAAATGTTTGTTGATGACTGAGGGAGCAGTGAGCAGCACATCCCCTTTTTGGGATATATGTTCTTTTTCTCTCGCCATCAGTCTGAGCTGAATTGAAAACAGGACCCAGAGAAAAAATAAATAAAAATAAGTTGATCACTCAATCCATGACTGTTTGTGGAACGCTGCTGTGCGCAAATGGCTGCCGCTTTTCACCCACAGAATATACAGTCATCCACTTTACAGTAAATTCTGTGAAGCACCTTGAGACGTCTTGAAGACCTGAGAAGCGTTATCCAAATACAAGGATTATTATTATTAGATCAAAGGCCAGCGTTTAATCCACTGTGTCAACCTGGTTAGAGACACCTTATAAATCCATCAAGAAAAATTCTGTTTGCACAGAACAAATCTCTAGCCTATGTGTAATGAGAATCCACACATACCAACTGTAGGTCTCAAACCTTCCAGATACTGTTTGTCCTTGAGGTTGCTGGCAGTAGAAATGACTTTGGCCCCACGGTGATGAGCCAGTTGAATAGCAATGGTGCCAAATGGCTGTAATAAAAAAAACAGGACAGAACAAACAGGTCATTATTATTCAATAATCACACCATAAATTATTAAAAACGCATGCCTATACTGTTCATAATAACAACAATCGTTGCATTTGATATAGTGCCTTATTACATCTCAAAACGTTTCACAGGATATACTGTAACGTGAATTGACTGTATACTTGTGGGCGAAACGTGGTTGTCAATTGCGCACAGCAGCGTCCCACAAACAGCCGTGGATTGAGTGGCCATTCATTTTTTTTGGAAAGAATTATTACCCCCGGCAAAGCAATCTGCCAATTGACTTAACAACCATGTTCCTACTTACTGCTAGGTAAACAGAGGCCTGTGGAGTAAGGAAACTTGCCCAATCTTTCCCCCTGCCAGGAACCAAACCCAGATCTCTCGCTTGCTAGGCGAGCGCTCTAACCACTGAGCTAAAGGATCTCACGACTAGCATCAAGAGACTTACATAGTTGTTTGTCACAAGGCAAAAATCAAGACTCCAGGAATATTCTGTGTACTAGGAACATCCTGAATTCAGGATATATGGTAAACACTGTGGTTGACTCATTTCTGATTTATTGTGGGAACCACTGCGTATTGCTACCCTTATCTACAAGATTCAGTGTTGAAAATCCTACTAATCAGTGGTCGAGCAGTCTCCATTTCAATTGTTTGGAACTGCATTAAATATGGTTCAGGTTAGCACTGTACCCAGTAATATTGCTTAACAAACTTTTTATGTTTGACATTACTTTCCACGTTTCTCTTCTGAAGCCATACGCAGGTTGTACAAGGTGTAGTGACTGTATATTTTGTGGGCAAAAATGATCAGGAGATTCCCCCCCAAGTCAGGCGTACTGGGGTCAGACACACTTTTTTAACCTATATATAAATAAAATGAGATGATCCAGAGAGACTACACACTGTGAAAAAAGTATCCTGGAAGCCAACAGACAAGTAGTTTCCTTGTCTCTGGTGTGTTTTAGAGCAACCTTACTTCAACACTGTATTTGAGCACAGTCAATTCACTTTACAATATATTCTGTGAAGCTCTTTGCACGTCTCGAAGACGTGATAAGGTGCTTTATCAAATGCAAGAATTATTACTGTTATTATATTGAGCTTCTTTATGCACAGTTTATTCCAAGGCCGATTTGTGTAAACATTCATTGTTATAGACTTCATCCTAGAATTGCTAACACATACATTTGCTCCTTCAATGACCAGCACAGTTGTTCCACTGCCCACGTGCGAGAGTGTGTGCAAAGCCATGTACGCACACAATCCATCACGAATAGTTCCTGCAGCATCCACCCAGCTCACCTTTTCTGGTTTGTTCACTGAGTTTTGAAAAGAAAGGAAACAATATCACAGCCTGCATTAGATAAACAAAATACTGCTCTCAAGTGTAATGCAGGGTGACCAAAAAGTCGTGATACCAAAACAATGTCTAATAAGTCTTAAAGAAATTATGTTTTTTTTTAGATAATAGAGTAGATATCACGACTTTTGGGTTACGCTATATTTTGGCGTGAAATGAAAACAATGCCAGTCAACATTTATAATAAATAAAATGAATGGAAGGAAGCGTTCCTGAAGTCTGAGCAAACGTTTTCCTTTAAATAACTAAACAACAACAATAGAAACACATTACATTTGCACATCACCTTTCACGTCAGGTGGACATGAAAGGCGCTGGACAGTCAGGGACCCGCATCCGAACTGGTGGTTGGGATCAGGAGGGATTGAGGGCGGGGAGGGTAGGGTGAATGTTATACAAGTCCCAAAGCCTGTTGCAGAAACTGTGGCCCTCGCCTGAATGGAGCACTTCTTGACTTAGAACCCTTCACAAGAACAACAATAATATTAACCAGATAATAATTTGATCACTCAATCCACGATTGTTTGTGGGATATTATTGTGTGCAATTGGCTGCCATGTTTTGCCCACAAAATATACAGTCAATTCACTTGACAGTGTATCATGTGAAGCACTTTGAGACGTCTCGAAGACATGATAAGGCGCTGTATTAAAATACAAGGAATATTATTATTAGCCAGCATCCGCTCGGCAGGTTCCGGCCTCCTGTTTGTCCCTCGCACCCTCCGCTCCACCATCGGCGGCCGTGCTTTTGTCTACTAGACCACAAAGCTCTGGAATTCTCTCCCTCAATTCCCTGCCTAGCATCCTCCCACCCCCCACCTTCAAATCCTGTCTAAAGACCTTTCTTTTTGATCGTGCTTAAGGTCACCAACCCCTTCCACCACCACCTGGATCGGGGTCAGACTCCGCTACTGTCAAGCGCTCCGGGACGCTACCCCACCGTGAAGGTTGCTATATAAATGCAAGTTGCTGTTGTTATTGCTGTAATAACCGAGACGATGGAGCCCCGATGTGCAGCACAGGGAGAGGCAGGGACTGTCCTGTCAGCCACATTATGCACTTGAGAGGCACAGCTAAGAGGTTGCAATCAAAGACCTGCTGCTACACGGCCATGGTGAGGGATGGTCACTCAGACCACTTTTGTGCAATATCTATCGGTTGTTTTTATTGTTTAGTGTTGACAGAGCTTCAGTATTTTGCCTGAAAATAGATTTGACGGGATGAAGCCTCCAGAAAAAGGAAAGGGTGAAATACCATCAAGGTTTATAATAAACTGACAATGAAATGGGTTACGATTTCAGTTTTGCAGCAGCATTTATTATAATAATCACCTTTGCATTTGGTAATTTTGCATTTGCGTCTTATGTCTTCGAGACGTTTCAAACCTTTTCACAGAATACACTGTAAAGTGAATTGACTGTATATTGAACAGCGGTTCAGTTCTGGGCACCACACTTTAGGAAGAAGGACATTGATTTAAAATAATTGTTAAAAGAAACAGAGGGGAGGTGATGAGAAATGTTTTCACACAGCCAGTTGTCGGGATCTGGAATGCAAAAGGTGGTGGAAGCCGATTCGATAACAGCTTTTAAGAGAGAAATAGATAATTATTTGGGGAGGAAAAGTTTGCAGGGCTATGACAGAGCGCGGGGGAGTGGGATTGAATTGGATAGCTCTTTTCAAAGAGCCGGCACAGACACGATGGGCCGAATTGCCTCCTTCTGTGCTGTATAATTCTAGGAATTATGGGAGAAAACCAGCAGCCAATTGTGCACAGGGGTGTACCAGAAACAGTCGTGCATTGAGTGACCAAATTATTATTGTTTTTTTGAAGGATTATTATCCCTGGAAAAGCGATCCGCCATTTCACTAACAACTGGATTCCTACTTACTGCTGGGTAAACAGAAGGGTGTGTGTGGAGTAAGGAAACTTGCCCAACATTTTGCCCTGCTGGGAATCGAACCCAGGTCTTTCATTTGCGAGGCGAGTGCTCTAACCACTGAGCTACAGGGCTCCACATATACCATTTGCATTTGATATAGCGCCTTATCACATCTTCATAACATTATGATGTGAACGACCAGTTTTAACTGAGCAACTGTTGGCCTGGAAACCAGAAGAAACCCCCTTGACTTTTTGAATAATGCCATGACAAGTTCAATGTCCACCTGAGCAGGGAAATGCAATCTCATTTTAACGTCTTTTCTGAAGCATGACACCTCTGAGAATGCACCATACCATTCGCTCAGCATTGCAATGGAGTGGCTGCCTAGATCATGACCTCCAAGTCCTGTCGTCGGGCTCCAACCTAAAACCTTCTGACTTGGGAGGTGAGAATGATCCAGGCTGACTAACACCCAAGCACGGAAAGGGCGCACTGTTGAATTGCACGTCAGAAACTATAGCAATTCACTAGTTTTGTCAAAAATATCTTAAACCTTACAATAAACTGCACACATTTCGTACAAGTCACTGAAGGAAAGATGAGCAAAACCCTGATCGACTGTAAAAGTTCACCAACGTGGATTAAGGGGAGAAATTGCAGCGAAACATTTTAATTATGTTTAATGTCAATTTCTCTGCAGCGGTTTAAGCAACGCGCGAGGTGGGGGTTGGGGGTGGGAGAGAAGCAGAAAAATCTAGTGAGGTTCTATTACCAAAACACTGACAGAGTTTCCAACATAAACGCTACAGAAATGCTGCTGCTGGGGCATCGAAAGATTACGTCGTGGGTTAAAAATGGTTAAAATCAAACAATTAGTGACGGACTTTAAGCATTAAAACAAACACCTATTTATTAAGCGGCTGATCCCCCACATGTGATGCTATCTATGATTTTCCCCTATTCAGCCCTATCCAATTGCTATAGCAACAGTCAATTTCTACAGGGCCTCTGGCCATTGTGGTAGGAATTGTGGTAGGCCAACCAGAAAATGTGTTAATGGTCCATTCGCTCTCTGTGAATCAACACCATTAACTGTCTGTGCAGGGACGGAGTCTAATTTGGAGCCTACTACAGACGTACTGATGGAGCTCAGTAGCCCTGCAGTCAAAGTGGTTCTCGGAAATCGCAAGAAACAACATGTGGCTGTTTTCCCAGCTGGTGGAGAGAGATACACACACAGATGCAGTTTTGTCAATAGATGGTTTGGGAACAAACCAGACGTTTATGATATAAGCTAGCTTGGGGGGGATGGGGCGCCTGTTGCAATACCCAAGAAAAGGCTTAATTTTTATATTTGTTAATTAATTTCCACTATCATTTCAATACGCAATTTGTTTGCAACTCCTGATCTACCCGATTCATTGGAAGGTTTGAATATTTTTATTTTTTTTGAAAAAAATTTAAAAAAGAGGAATGACCCACAGTCCCGGTCCAAGCTTTTGGCTGCTGAGGGCCAGGTGCCCTATTGGAGAAACGTCTGTGGGCCACATGAGCAATATTTTTGTGTTTCCCTTCCAGAAACACAGGGGAGATAAAATTGGCCTGGGGACTGCCAGTTGACCTATGGAGTGATTAACGTGACATTCTGTAAACGATTTCATGTGCTAATTATCATACTATATATATATAGATTTACTTTATATACTATAAAGTGAATCTGTTAAGAAGCAGCAGAGCTTGAGTCGATCATTATCAACTGGTTTCAGGGCTGAACACCTCCACCCACAAGAGTTTAGCACAATAATAATAATCCTTGCATTTGATACAGCGCCTTATCACGTCTTTAGATTCATCTCAAAGCTCTTCAAAGAATGTACTGTAAAGTGGAATTGACTGTATATTTTGTGGACGAAACAGTTTGACCTGAGGATGCTTTACAAAATTATCTGGCTGCCATTTTGATCGTCTGCTCAGCAACAGCTGGACAAAAATACTTTTTCCAAGCAAACCTAGAGGCAGTGTGTGAGTGTTACGACCCAGAATTAAGCTGATACACTGCACAAATACGACGTTCTCCATTATTGGAAGCATAAATGTCTTTGGGCCCAACAATTGTGCAAAAACCAGAGAGGTGTTAGAAATGCACTTTTGTTTTTGTTTTTTTACAGCCCCTTATCACATTGAAACCGCTCAACTGGTTTCACAGCATAAGTTGTTCTGCAGCTACAACTTACCGAGGTGGTGCTCATGAACCAGGAGACTAACGCAGAGACCAGATTCTTCAGAATCTAAAGGCAAAATGCCTGGGGGAGAAAACCAACAACAAAATGGGTTACGATTTCAGTTTTGCAGCAACATTTACAATAATAAGAATATGTTTCTTACATTTGATATAGCACCTTATCATGTCTTCGAGATGTCTCAAAGCGCTTCACAGGATATACTATAAAGTGAATTCACTGTGTATTTTATGGGCAATGCGCAGCAGTGTCCTGCAAATCGTCGTGGATTGAGTGACCAATTTATTATTTTTTTTAAAAAAGGGGTTATTACCTCCTGAAAAGCGATCTGCCAATCGACTAACGACCAGGTTCCTACTTACTCGTAGGTGAACAGAGGCGTGTGGAGTAAGGAAACTAATGTTTCGCCCTGACCGGGAATCAAACCCAGATCCTCTTGCTTGCGAGGTGAATGCTCTAACCACTACACTACAAGACTCCACAATGTCAAAGATTGGAAGGCATTTACTCACCAACTACTTCGTCTCCAGGCTGGAAAAAACTCACTTTGGGTCCAACTGAAAACATAAATCGAAATATATTACAGCTGGAACATTTCAAATGCAAAGAGCTCAGTGTTTTCTTGCTAAACAAAACACGCTTTGTCACCCATTAAAAATGTCTGGAAAGTCTGTTAAGAAAAAAAAGTCTTGCCCTCAGGAAACCATTCAGAAAATAACTCAATTAGAAAGAACAGCGATTAACTTTGAAGGTTATTTCTATCATTCTGTCGGCTTCACAGCAAATCTTGAAGTGCTCTAAAATGTCCCCCGTTATGAAAGGCTACACCAAATGTAAGAATTATTATAGTATATTATAATTATAATAAAGTGAATTAATTGTATGTTTTGTGGGCGAAACGCGGCAGCCAGTTGCTCACAGCTGTGTCCCACAAACAGTCATGGATTGAGTGACCAATTTATTATATTATTTTGTTTTTGAAGGAATTATTACCCCAGAAAAGTAATCCGTGTAGTTTATATATAATGATTGTATATAATTATATTACTTTATCATTCAGTGTTGATACTGAGGAAAGGATTCAGGGCTATTAGATATAAAAACAAATAATGTTGAAGGGATCTTGTGAGAAATTTGATGTGGTTGGTGGACCGATTGTCCCATCCGGCCTGAAACTGTTACATTGCTTCCACATCAATGAGGATAATAAGATGGACAAATGACTTGGGTGTTTACAATGTTCCTCGGAGGGCTAATGCAGTGGTTTGTTAATATAATGGATTTTCTCTTCTGTGTCCTGAATGGGAAATTCCTACTGAACGTGTGGAATAAAACGTTTACTACTGTTAGCAAAGAACACATGCTAACCACAAAACAGACTTAACAAAGGTACAATTGAGACACCTGATTAATGATGGTACATGTTAATGGATCTCACATTAGATCCTTTACACTGTCCAAGTCAGTGAATCCTCTGAGTGGATGCATTCAAAAATCTCATCACAACTCACCATTCAAACAACATTCTACAAAACTAATCCTTGTAATTGATATAGCGCCTTATCACGTCTTCCAGACATCTCTAAGTGCTTCACAGAATATACTGTAGAGTGAATTGACTAAACATTTTGTGGGCGAAACCAAGTGAACAAAACTGACAGAAAAAGGACACAAGCTATAGCCACACAAGAGCGACTGAGGCTCAATCAATGGAAATCATTCAAAAGGAAACTGAATAAACATCATAAGAATTTGCTCTGCAAAAGAAGACCATCCAGTCCATCCAGTTCTCCTTCCACCATCCTGGCAGTCGCCTGTCATATATTTTACAAATACATCAAGAGGAATAGGCTAGTGAGGGTAAATGTAGGTCCACTTCAGTCAGAGACGAGAGAAGTTGTAATGGGGGATAAAGACATGGCAGAGACCCTAAATTGCATCTGTCTTCACCCTAGAAGACACAACAAGTCTGCCAACAATAGGGATGCACCAAGGGGATAAGGACAGGGAGCAACTTAGGGAAATTTTCATTAGTAGAGAATTGGTGCTCGGGAAACTGTTAGCACTAAAACGTGACAAATCCCCTGGTCCGGATGGCTTGCATCCCAGGGTTTTAAAAGAGGGAGCTTATGAGATAGTGGAGGCCTTGTGCCTGATCTTCCAAAATTCCTCAGTTTCTGGAACAGTCCCCATGGAATGGAAGATCGCAAATGTCACACCATTATTTTAAAAAGGTGAAAAGGAAAAGATGGCAAACTATAGACCAGTTAGTCTAACATCAGTGACAGGAAACATTTTAGAATCGTTGATTAGTGCGGTATTTAGGGGAGTTCAATATAATTAGGCCAAGTCAACATGGCTTTACAAAAGGGAAGTCATGTTTGACTAATCTCATAGAATTTTTTGAGGACATTTCCAGTAAACTAGATAAGGGTGAACAGTGGATGTGGTCCATTTGGACTTCCAGAAAGCATTCAATAAGGTGCCGCAGAAAAGGTTAGTCCAAAAGATAGAAGAGGACACTTGGGTGTCCTTGTACACCAATCACAGAAAGTTAGTCTGTAGGTGCAGCAGCAATTAGGAAGGCAAACGGTATGTTAGCATTCATTATGAAAGGATTAGAGTATAAGAGTAGGGAAGTCTTGCTGCAACTGTATAGGGCTCTGGTGAGACCACACCTGGAATACTTAAGGAAGGATGTACTTGCCTTGGAGGGGGTGCAGGGTAGATTTACTAGGTTAGTACAAGGGATGAAGGGGATGAGTTATGAGGAATGGCTGACCAATTTGGGCCTATATTCTCTGGAATATAGAAGAATTAGAGGGGATCTTATAGAAACCTATAAGATCATCGAAGGGTATGATAGAGTAGATAGTGGGAGATTGTTTCCCCCGGTTGGAGAAACTAAAACCAGGGGTCACAACCTTAAAATCAGAGGCAGCCCTTTCGCACTGAGTTGAGGAAGAACTTCTTCACTCAAAGGGTGGTGAATGTATGGAACTCACTACCCCAAAGGGCTGTTGACCCTCAGTCCTTGAACATATTCAAGACTGAGATAGATATATTTCTTATTGCAAAAGGGATTAAGGGATATGGAGATAAGGCAGGGTCAGGTTATTAGCTGGAGTTAAATTAGAAGATCAGCCATGATTGAATGGCGGGGCAGGCTCGAAGGGCCGAATGGCCTACTCCTGCTCCTACATGTTATGTTATGTTCCAAACTATACGGTTTCCTGAGATATGATTTCCTGACAGAAATCTATCTAATTTGCTTTTGAAAGATTTCAAACACGAGAAGGAAAACATGAAGGGATATTTGGGAAAGAGATGAAAAGTGGAATTACAGTGGCAAGCTGCAAACCTTCAGTGTCAATTATCCGCATGTCCACTTTACTGCATATGTGCTCTGATGCGGAAATGCAATGTTGACAAAAATTGCATTGATGCTAATAATAATCCTTGCTTTTGACATAGCGTCTTATCATGTCTTCTAATCATCTCAAAACGCTTCACAGGATATACTGTAAAGTGAATTGACTCTAAATTTTGTGGGCGAAACCCAGCAGCCAATTGTGTCCCACAAACAGTCGCAGATTGAATGACCAAAGTATTATTATTTTGAAGGGATAATTACCCCTGGAAAAGTGATCCACCAATCAAGTGGGTTCATACTTACTCTGTGTGTGTGTGTGTATTGAGTAAGGAAACTTGCCTAAGGCTTCGCTCTGTCCCATCTAGGAATCAAACCCAGATCCTCTTGCTTGCCAAATGACCAAATAACTTCATGTGCAGAAATTTTCCTGAAGCATCCGCCACCTGAAAGTTGGTGATAAGCAATTTTGCTTATTTCACACGAAAATCAAGACGGTGCTTACCTTCAAGAACCTCTCCAGCAATTTCTCTTCCAACTGGCAAGAACTCTTTCTGCAACTTCAGCTCGGTCAGCAGCTAAGTACAGAAGTGAGCTTTTGTCACCAAGTCAGAAACAGGCAATAATAATCCTTACATTTTATATAGCGCCTTATCATGTCGTTGAAACGTCTCAAAGCACTTCATGGGATAGACCATAAAGTGAATTGTCTGTGCATCTTGTGGGTGAATCGCGGTAGCAAATTGTGCAGCCAGTGTCCCACAAATGATGAACACATTTTTTTTGAGGGATTATTTTCCCCCCGAAAAGCGATCCGCCAATCTTCTAACACCTGGGGTCCTGCTTACTGGTAGGTAAACACTGGCCTATGGAGTAAGGAAACTTGCCTCAGGTTTCGTCCCGCCTGGGAAACAAACCCGGGTCCTCTCGCTTGTGAGACGAGTACGGTAACCACTGCACTATGGGACTAATAAATATCTTAAGAGACAGAAATAACAACAACAACAACATTTCATTTATAGAGCGCCTTTCACGTCGGGAGAACGTCCCAAGGCGCTAGACAGTTGGGTCAGGACCCGAGCATGGGGGAAAATGGTGAGGGGAGGGAAGGAGCGAGGAGGGGGTAGAGAGTCGAGAGGGGAGCTGAAGGCACAGTCAAAGAGAAAGGTCTTGAGACCGGCCTTGAAGGAGGAAGCGGCGCAGGCACTGGGGGATAGAGTTCCAGAGCCTCAGGGCTGAGTGGCTGAAGGCCCGGCCTCCGATGGTAGGGCAGTTAGGGCGGGGGATGTGGAGCAGACCGGAGCCAGAGGAACGGAGGGACAGTACACGAGCTGCAGAGTTCTGAATGACCTGCAGTGTGGAGGGAGGTGGCGGGAAGGCCGCGAGGAGAGAGTTCCCGTAGTCCAGCCTTGAAGTGATAAAGGCGTGGACCAGAATTTCAGCTGCGTGAGGAGTGAGGTAGTGCCGTAGTCTGGCGATGTTCCGGAGGTGATGGAAGGCGGTGTCGGTTGTGGTGCGGATATGAGGGAGAACGGACAGCTCAGGGTCGAACAGAACCCCGAGGTTCCTGATGGCTTTGAGAGGTGGAGAGTGCAGCCTTGGATGCTGATGCTGTCAGTACCTGAGGTGCGGAGGCGCTGACGTGAGCCAATCAGGAGGGCCTCAGTTTTGTGCACGTTTTGCTGAAGAAAGTTGTCTCGTCCAGGACTCAATGTCAGACAGGCAGGATGTCAGGACATCGGTGGTCGTGGAGTTGAGGGTAGATGACGAAAGGTAGAGTTGGGTGTCATCCACATACATGTGGAAGTTAACCCCATGTCTGCGGATGATGTCACCACAGGGGGAAGCATATAGAGGGTGAAGAGGAGGGGACCGAGGACAGAGCCCTGAGGGACACCGCACGAGACAGTGCAGGGAGTGGAGGAAAAGCCGTTTGTGGAAACAAAATGAAGACGGTGAGAGAGGTATGACCTAAACCGCTCAAGGACAGGGCTTTGAAGGTTGAGATGGGAGGACAAGCGGTGGAGGAGGATAGCGTGGTCGATCGTATCGAATGCGGTCGATAGGTCGAGGAGGACGAGGAGGCAGAGGGAGCCCTGGTCACAGATGGTCAAGATGTCATTGGTGACCTTGACCAGGGCGGTTTCTGTGCTATGGGCACGGAAACCCGACTGAAGGGGTTCGAATAATGTATGGGTGGAGAGGAAAGAGCGCAGCTGGGAATAAAATAAAATGAGAACATGAGAAATTGGGAACAGGTGAAGGCATTTTGAAGATCTCTCTACGGTAGACCATTCAGTAGCACACATACTGCAATCTCTTCCAGTCCCACCTCCCCATTGTACTCTTTAATATATTCATTCCCTGAGCATCTATGCGTCTCTCTCTTGAATCCTCAACCAATTTCTATGGCTTTCTGAGGCAGTGCGTACCAAAAATAAAAGCCACAAAGCACAAAAGAAATGTTAGAAAAAGGATTTTTTTAAAAAATCAGTCACAAAACCAGCAAATGCAAATGAGAAAACTTTAAAGAGGAAACACTGGAACAAATTCCGTATTGGTCCCTTAGGCTTAGCTGATGTTTTTTTTGATGTTTTAATAGAGGTGTTCAAAATTATGAGGGGGTTTGATCAGAGTTAACAGGGAAAAACCGTTTCCACTGAGGGGTGTGTCTACAATCGAGGCACATAGATTTAAGATAATTGGCAAAAGAACCAGAGGGGAGATGAGGAGAATTTGTTATGGTCTGGAATGCACTGCCTGAAAGGGTGCTGGAAGCAGATTTAATAACAACTTTCAAATGGGAATTAGATAGAGACTTGAAAAGGAAAGCATTAGGGCTATGGCGAAAGAGTGGGTAGCTCTTCCAAAGAGCTGGCACAAGTACGGTGGGCCGAATGGTCTCCTTCTGTGCTGTCGTATTCTATACTTCTCAGTGAAAATGGTTGCACTTTTTGTCTAGTATAAGAACTGCATATTTGATTATCTACATCAGGGTGGTGCAATCTTTCAGCTGTTGAGGGCCTGATGCGCTAAACTGAGTAACCATCTGTGTGCTACATAAGCAATAATTTTGTGTTTCCCTTCCAGAAAAAGTAACATTCAATCGTAATAATAATAATAATCCTTGCATTTGATATAGCGCTTTTCACGTCGGGAGGACGTCCCAAAGCGCTTCACAGAACACACTGTAAAGTGAATTGACTGTATATTTGTGGGCGAACGCGGCAGCCAATTGCGCACAGCAATGTCCCACAAACAGTCGTAGATTGAAAATGACCAATTTATTATTGTTTTTGGTTTTGGAGGGATTATTATTAGGCTCTGTGTGGAGTAAGGAAACTTGCCCAAGGTTTTGTCCTCTGCCTGGAATTGAACTCAGGTCTCTCGCTTGCAAAGCGAGTGCTCTAACCACTGAGCTACAGGACTCCTACTCTGGCCTACTCCTGCTCTGACATGTTATGTTAAAATAAATAAGAATAATTATAACTCCTGACATTTGAATCAGCGGTGCCTTTGACTTCTGAATGGCACCTTCACAGGATGCACTGCAAAGTGGAGTGACTGTGTATTCCGTAGGCAAATGCAGCTCTAACCATGAGCTACAGGACTCCATCATACATGTAAACGTACCTTTGTATTCACAAGGCTGAAAGCACAAGCTTTAATCTGTAATTTGACATCATGCCCACTTAGAATGGGAAGAGATTCCTTAAAAACAAAAGAAAGCATTGTGTTAAGAAGACTGTTCTTGTTCTCTCCACGAGCGACTGCTGCTCCTAACAACACCTCCGTCCTCCACCCTCTCTTACCCTAACAACCCCCCCCCACTCCCCAAGCTCTGATCCAAATCCCTCGCTGTCTAGTAGCTTGGGATGTCCTCCCGACGTGAAAGGTGCTATACACATGTAATTTTGTATTGTAAGACTACCCAGTGTGATCACATCAGTGGTAGGACTGAGAGAAACATGGCATAACATAACATGTAGGAGCAGGAGTAGGCCATTCGGCCCTTCGAGCCTGCCCCGCCATTCAATCATGGCTGATCTTCTAATCTAACTCCAGTTAATAACCTGACCCTTCCTTATCCCCATATCCCTTAATCCCTTTTGCAATAAGAAATATATCTATCTCAGGCTTGAATATGTTCAAGGACTGAGCGTCAACAGCCCTTTGGGGTAGTGAGTTCCATACATTCACCACCCTTTGAGTGAAGAAGTTCTTCCTCAACTCAGTGCGAAAGGGCTGCCTCTGATTTTAAGGTTGTGACCCCTGGTTTTAGTTTCTCCAACCGGGGGAAACAATCTCCCACTATCTACTCTATCATGCCCTTCGATGATCTTATAGGTTTCTATAAGATCCCCTCTAATTCTTCTATATTCCAGAGAATTATAGGCCCAAATTGGTCAGCCATTTCTCATAACTCATCCCCTTCATCCCTGGTACTAACCTAGTAAATCTACCCTGTACCCACTCCAAGGCAAGTACATCCTTCCTTAAGTATTCCAGGTGTGGTCTCACCAGAGCCCTATACCGTTGCAGCAAGACTTCCCTACTCTTATACTCTAATCCTTTCATAATGAATGCTAACATACCGTTCGCCTTCCTAATTGCTGCTGCACCTACAGACTAACTTTCTGTGATTGGTGTACAAGGACACCCAAGTCCCTCTGGACGCTAACACATTCCAATCTCTCCCCTTCTAAAAAATAACCCGTTCTCCTGTTTTTGCTACCGAGGTGGATGACTTCGCACTTCCCTACGTTATACTTCATCTGCCACCTACCTGTCCAATCACCTAACCTACCTATCTATGTCTCGCTGCATTTTTTTTAATGTCGTTGTGTTGACACGTTCTCCTAGTTTTGTGTCATCCGCGAATTTAGATTATATTAACTTCGATATCCTCATCTTATCCTTATGCTCCCAGTTTTGTCTAGAAAGTTATGGGTTTGAGCCCGACCCTGAGACTTGAGCTCATAATCCAAACGGGTCATCCAGTGCAGCATTGAGGGTGTGCTGCATTATTGAAAACTTTGAGACATGATGCTCATATTATTGAACTTAAAATGGTAAACACCTGAGTCAAACCACCGGGATTTAAACCAGGCACACTGGGATCCCAAGTGCTTTGCTCAACTGGCTGAGCTCAGTGGGATTAACACAAATAATTGCTACACTTGAGCCTGAGTTAACAAAAATAATATTCATCGATGGCCTGCCCTTCCCATACTACAACAACAACAAATTACATTTACACAGCGCCTTTCAAGACGGGAAGACATCTCAAGGTGCTGTCATTTGGACCCGAGCTGGGGGTTGGGGTCAGGAGGGGCTGGGATGCAGGGAGGGTGGGAGTAGGGTAGGGGTAGAATGGTGGCCGAATGCGTGGTCAAAGAGGAGACGTGCCTTGAAGGAGGCAAGGGAGGGAGCAAGACGAAGGGAATGTGGGGTGGAGTTCCAAGGGGTGGGGGCAGAGAAGCTGAAGGCTGAGTATCCCCTGAGGTACAATCCCCCAAACACACTTTTGGGAGAGTTCATGGCTGGTACCAGGAAGCATTTCTTAGGATGAACCTAAATAAGAGCAAAATATACCAATCCTCCAGGGATCAAAGCATTATTTTAAAACAAGCTATGCCAAAATGAAAGCAACCATCAACTTATAATAACATTCATTATCCTTGTATTTGATAATTGCGCCTTTCATGTCAGGATGCTGTCCCAAAGCGATTCACAGGATTTACTGTAAAGTGCAGCGTCTATGCATTTTTTGTGGGCAAATGCAGCAGCCAATTTACGCACAGCAAGGTCCCACAAACAAAAAGTAAAGGACCAATTTTATTTGGGGATTGTTGGCCAGGACACGGGACAAAACTGTCTCGTCTTTTCAAATCGTGCCATAGGATCTTTAAATTCCACCTAATTGGCAGGTTTAACGTTTCATCTGAACGACGGCAGCACAAGCAATGCAATGGAGCGTCATCTTAAGGCTGCATGAGTTCCAAGTCTGGACTTGAGAATTAAACCCATAATCTTCTGACTCAAGACAACTTTTAAGAGAGAAGTAGATAATTATTTGGGGAGGACAAGTTTGCAGGGCTTTGGGGAGAGAGCTGGGGAATGGAATTGACCCCAATATCCGGTAACTGGAAGGTCTAATCGAAGTCTGCTCGTACTAGACCTCCAATGTTGACAATTTCCCTCCGAAGTGCTTACTCCTTACTTGTTTAGGATACTACAGAGAGTTGAGGATACATTCAGTAGAAACAAGAGCTCTTTATTAAAACCTAGCAATCCTAGGCCACCTAGGATATGGAAGACATAAGGAATATAAGGAATGGAAGACATACAACAATGGGAGCAAACATAACAATCACACATAACTATAACAACTGGCAGCACAATGTTACATTACTAAAGAAATATAAAACCAAACCTGAATGTAAAGTAGTCCTGTACAGATGATGACCATTAGTTAGCGATTAGTTATGATAAAAGTAAATCACAGTAAATATATAGTAAAGTGAATTAACTGTATACTTTGTGGGCCCAAAGAGGTAGCCAATTGCGCACAGCAGTGTCCCACAAATTGTCTTGGAATGAGTGAGCAAATTACTTAATTTATTTAATTTTGAAGGGATTAATCCCCAGAAAAGCGATCTGCCAATCGACTAATGACCGGGTTCCTACTTACTGTTAGGCAAACAGAGGCGTGTGGCGTTAGGAAACTTGCCTAACGTTTCGCCCTGCCTGGGATTTGAACCCAGATCCTCTCGCTTGTGAGGCGAGAGCTCTAACCAATACACTCCAGGACTCCACACTCTAAAGTGAATGTAATCAATTGGTAGAATAAACCCAAGAGTTACATGCTTCCCATTTCACCTATTCTTTGCTGCACCTTGTTTTCCCATACCTGGAAATTTCTATTCTACAACCCTGAGCCACGTCTAGTTCACAAGCACTTAGGATTTACTGGCATGGTGGTTGTCTAGAACCTAGAGGAGGGAGCAGCTGCATGGGTTTATGTGCACTGACTACGGAGGGAGTGAGAGGCTGAATGGGTTGAGTAATGCTCTCATCTTTTCTTCATGAAATTGATTTAAAGTTTTATAATATAATAATAATAATCCTTCCATTTGACATAGTGCTTTTCAAGTCTTTTAGACAACAACAAAAACTTGGATTTATATAGCGCCCTCCACGCCGGATGGCATCTCAGAGCGCTTCACAGTAATGAATCCCGGGGCCGAGGCCGGGGGCAGGGTGAGGAAGGTGACCAAAGGCGCGGTCGAAAAGAAAGGGTCTTCAGTAGGGACCTGAAAGTAGGAAGAGAGGGAGCGAGGTGAAGGGAGTGAGGAAGGGAATTCTAGAGCCTCGGGGCATAGTGGCTGAAAGCACGGCCGCCGAGGGTGGAGTGGAGGACTCAGGAGACGAGGAGGAGGCCAGACCCGGAGGAACGTTTTGAGGAGCGAGGAGGTCAGAGAGGTAGGGGGGTGCAGAGGAGTGGAAGGATTTGAATACAAGGGTGAGGATCTTGAAATCATCCTCTCTAGGATAGGCAGCCAGTGCAGTCTGGTGAGGACTGAGGCAATCGGGGAATGTAGTTTGGTGCGGGTGAGAATGCGGGCGGCAGGGTTTTGGATGATTTGGATTTTATGGATGGTGGTGGATGGGAAACCAGCGAGGAGGGCGTTAAGAGTAGTTTAGTAGTCCAGCCTAGAGGTGACAAAGGCATGGACTAGGGTTTCAGCGGCCTTTGGAGAGAGGTATCTGCAGAGATGGGCGATGCGTCGGAGGTGGAAGAAAGCGGTGCTGGTGAGGGACCAGATGTGGGGGAGGAAGGACAATTGGGAGTCGAAGCTGACACCAAGGTTGCGTATGGGTTCGGAGAGTTTTAGGGGAAGGACGGGCAGGTGAGAGCCGTGGGATTTGAGATGTTGACGAGAGCCAAAGAGTACGGCTTTCGTCTTGTCGACATTCAGTTGAAGGAAATTTGTGCTCATCCAACCCCTGAGATCTGACAGGCAGGCAGACATCTCAAAAAGTATTAAACATCCACATCCACTTATAATGCCATTGAGCAGGCATGATGCTTATCATCCTTGCATTTGATATAGCACCTTATCATGTTTTCGAGACGCTTCACAGAATATATTGTAAATTGACAGTATATTATTGGGGCGCTCCGCAACAGCCAATTGCACACAGCAGCGTCCCACAAACAGTCATGGATTGAGTGACCAATTTGTAATTTTTTTTGGAAGGAATTGTTAGCCTTGAAAAGCAATCCACCAATCGACTAACAAATGGTTTACTGCGAGACAAACAGAGGCGTGCAGAGTAAGGAAATTTACCCAACGTTTTGCCCTGCTCTAACCACTACTTGGGGGAAGGGGAAAGAAGAGGAAAATCTTGATCTTCCTGTTACCCTAATACTGCTGTCACAAATTGGATGATTTTAGGGACCAGAGAAGCCCTGTGAATATTTATCAAAAAAATCTGACCACTTGAAAAAGCAAATGGTTGATCTTTGGAGGTTCCAACAGTCAGCACAAACAAGAGAAAAAAAGACCTTTGGATGAGACATTAAACTGAGGCCCTGTCTTGTCTGCCTGTTCAGGTAGATGTTAAAGATCCCAGGCCATTAGTTGAAAAGAGACAAGCGTTACTTCCCCCTCTCCCCCCCCCCACCACTGTTCTGGCCAAGAATTTCCCCCAAATTAAAATTGTTGATTCGCTTGATGGTTGTTTGTGGGATATTGCATTGCTCTGTACAAATTGGCTGCCGAGCTCGCCTACAAAATACAGTCACTACACTTTACTGTGAAACGCCTTAAGATATCCTCCAGACTGTGGAAATCTACAACAAATGTAAAGTAAAAAAAATCTTGTTTTTAAAACAAAACACAATAAAAATAACCCTGTTTTGAGCACCAAATAATTTTTTGAACTAACCAGAGAATTCAACTGTAGAAAGTTCAAGCTGGGTTTGTCCACTGATTACCAGAACAGGAAATGATTAATACTGTACAACAGTATAGCTATATGTAAACTGCCCTTTAAACCAATAAAGTATGATTGCCTTATTCCAAGTCTTTGGGAATATTATCAAAGTGAACACAATTTACTGAATGGGTGTGTCTGCACATCTATAAGTTAATAAATCAATAATCCTTGCATTTGTTATGGAACCGCACCACGTCATTGAGACGTCTCAAAGCGCTTCACAGAATATACTGTAGAATGAATTGACTATATTTTTGTGGGCGAAACGCAGCAGCCAATTGCGCACAACAGTGTCACAATGTGGATTAAGTGACCAATATATGTATATATATATGTTTAATTTATGAAGGACTCAATCGTCAAGTACAGCACTAACCTGGTCGTGAAACACAAATGTCAGGTCTTCATTGGATTTACTCAGCTGACAATACAACCCCTTCATCTCGAGCTTTAAAAACAAAAATCAGGTATCAGGTTACACATATTAGTAAGACGGTCATGATAAGTTCTTGCTTCATGTCCTATCACCCCCATCCTCGCCCAACTCCACTGGCTTCCCATCACACAGATACAGTTCAAGATCCTAGTTCTTACCTTCAAAGCCCTCGATGGCCTTGGTTCCCCCAACCTCTGCAATCTCCTGACCCCCTACCATCCTGCTCACTCCCTCCACTCAGCGGGCTCCGGCCTGCTTCATGTCCCCCGCCTCGCTTGACCCACTATTGGTGGGCAGAACTTTTGCCACTCTGCCCCCACCCACTGTAAATCCATCCCACAGTCCCTCCGCCTCACCCCCGCCCGTGCCTCCTTCAAGATCCATCTCAAGACCCTCCTCTTCGACCGTGCTTTCGATCTCCCTGCTTCCCCCCTGCCCACCACCCTCCCTGACCCCCAGCTCGGGTCTGAAATGTCTGTCCAGTGCCTTGGAACTTCCTCCTGGTGAAATACAAATGTAATTTTGCTGTTGTTTGCTATGTATCACTATATTGTAGAACAACAACAAGATTCCATTTATAGAGCGCCTTTCACGTCGGGAGGATGTCCCAAAGAGCTGGACAGTTGGGTCAGGACCCGAGCAGGGGGGAAATGGTCAGGGTGAGGGGAGGGAGTGAGGAGGGAGAAATGGTCTGGGTGAGGGGAGGGAAGGGAGGGAGCGAGGAGGGGGGGAAATGGTCAGGGTGAGGGGAGGGAAGGGAGGTGGCGAGGAGGGGTAGAGAGTCGAGAGGGGAGCTGAAGGTATGGTCAAAGAGAAAGGTCTTGAGACCGGCCTTGAAGGAGGAAAGGGAGGAAGCGGCGAAGGCACTGGGGGATAGAGTTCCAGAGCCTCGGGGCTGAGAGGCTGAAGGCCCGGCCACCGATTGTAGGGCGGTTGGGGCGGGGGATGTGGAGCAGACCGGAGCCAGAGGAACGGAGTGTACCGGCAGGTAAGTAGGGGGATAGTAGGTCGGAGAGGTAGGAAGGAGCGAGGCCGTGAATGGCCTTGTAAGTGAGGATGAGGATCTTGAATTCGAGAGGTTTCAAAAACTCATTGAGGTTTTGGAAATGGTTTTACACATTTATATAATAACAACAACTTGCATTTATATAGCGCCCTTCACGCGGGGTAGAGTCCTGGATTGCTTAATGTGCATTGAGAGATGAAGGCTTTTTATAATAATAATAAACCTGTATTTGATATAGCGACTTCTCGGGTCTTCGAGATGTCTGAAAGCGCTTCATGACCAAGAGGCTGGGGCCATAGGTCAGTATAGGAAGATTGAGGAAGCTTAGGTGCTTCCAGGAAAATAACCGAGTTGTCTTATTATTTTCTCCATCTGCAGGTGGAGTCCATATGGTACTTGTTCTGTTTGGCACAACTGCCCAGTTCCTTTTTCCGTATGTCTGTTGTGGTAGTGGCAGTACCACATGACAACAGCATCTGCAGCATATTGCTGCCAGTGCTCGCAGCAATTTTGCAGAGTCCTTTCCTCTGGCTTTTGAGAAGATGCCAAGCAGGCATTGAGCTGAAGAATCATAGCTTCTGTAGCCTCCAGAACAGATAATAATCCTTCCTTTTGATATAGCGCCTTATCACGTCTTCGAGATGTCTCAAAGCGCTTCACAGGACATAGTGTAAAGTGAATGGACCGTGTATTTTGTGGGCCAAATGTAGCAGCCAATTACGCACAGCAGCGTCCCACAATCATTTATCAGGATCAGAATCTTGAAGTTGTTCTGCCAGTTCAGTCTGGCGAGGGCAGTGGTACCTGAGGATTGTAGGGCATCATAGAGCTACACTTATTATTATTACTAATTGGATAGGTACTTGAAAAGGAAAACATTAGGCCTATGGGGATAGAGCGGGGGAGTAGGACTAATTGGATAGCTTTTTCAAAGAACCGGCACAGACACGATAGGCCGAAAGTTCTCCGTTTGCCTCTTGCTGTAAGATTCTATGACTTGAGCATGAATCACCACCACATTCTTGTAAAGAGAGAAAAAGGAATAATAGGCTGTATTAGTGATTTTTTTTTTTGGGGGGGGGGGAGATCTCTCTTCATTTAGCATAAAATTTCAGCTATGGTATTGCATCACCTAAAATGGAAAGATAAATGAGAGCATCGGGAAGTCAGAGCACATCCAGACCAGAGATGGTGCTGGCAGCTTTCATGTTTGCTGATCGAAAGAATGATGAGAGCACTACAGCTATTTCTGACGCAGATTTATTGACTCAATTTAAAGATTACTGTGGGAGCAACATTGGTACATTTTTATGATGCAGGTATAAATTTCTATTACATTGGAGCGCTTCCAGTCGCTGATGTATTGGCCAAAAGAGGCCAATGTTATATATCTGTTATATATCTGTGGACCTACGCTAGGATTTAAAATCACTCAACACAGTGATGGACTTTCTTTAATTGCACCTGTTAAAATACGTCCCAAAGAGTAAAGTGACCACCATCAAGCAACGGCCTCAGAACATCAAAAGCAAGGAATGAGATAAACAAAGAAGTGATATTATTACAGGTATGAGTGAGAGAAACACCTATTTATAATAATAAATCTTGCATTTGATATTGCACCTTATCACGTCTTTGAGACGTCTCAAAGCACTGCGCAGAATATACTGCGAAACACGGCAGTGTCGTGGATTGAGTGACCAATTTATTATTATTTGTTTTGAAGAATTATTACCGATCCATCAATCAACTAACAACTGAGTTCCTAGTTACTGCTAGGTAAACAGAGGTGTGTGGAGTAAGGAAACTTGCCCAAAGCTTTGCCCTGCCTGGGAAATGAACCCATATCCCACTATTAAAAAGATCCAGCTCATTCAGAATTCTGCCGCCCGCATACTGACCCGGACCAAACTCCGCGCCCACATCTCACCAGTTCTGGCCAAACTCCACTGGCTCCCCATCACCGAACAGATCGACTTCAAGACCCTCACGCTTGTGTTCAAATCTCTTCACTCTCTGGCACCTCCCGATCTCCTCACTCCCCAATCCACCACCCGGCACCTCTGCTCCTGCTAATCCCTCGCATCCTCCGCCCCACCATCGGAGGTCACGCTTTCAGCCACTACGCCCCAAAACTCTGGAATACTCTCTCTCAATCCCTCTGCCTTGCCCTGTCTTTCTCTTTTTTCAGGTCCTGCCTGAAAACCTTCCTCCCACCCAACCCCCTGGCTCAGAGTCAGGCTCCGCCACTGTTAAGTGCTCTGTAGCGCTACCCTGTGTGGAGGGCACAATATAAGTACACATTGTTGTTGTCTCGCGCTTGCGAGGTGAGTGCTTTAACCACTGAGCTAAAGGACTCCACACTGCATACAATCTATAGTTGGGCAAAAATTTAACTTTGATACAATTGGCAGTAGACTTGTAAGTTTTGCATATTTATTACACAACTACAAGTGAACATTCCTAACTCAGTGTTCATGTAGCCAAAGGTGTAATACTTAAGTACCTTTACTCAATTTGGTTTCAACCTTCGTACTATTGCCCAATTTCCAATGAAATTTGTATGGGCCAAAGTCAAACCTCCAGTTCTCTTATTTGAGGATGAAAGGTGTGCCACGAGAAACCTGAATCAAATCCACTTAAAATGATCCAAAACTCAAAACACCTAGCATTATTTTGCTAAAAGTAGTTAACCAATTACAATGTATAGCCAAATGTTAACTTATTTTTTTAAAAAACAGAATATAGAACTTTGCAAGAGGATTATCAGTTAATACCAAGCTTTAAAAAAATCCTTGCATTTGCGCCTTATCATGTTGTGGAGATGCCTCAAAGTGCTTCACAGAATATAAAGTTAATAAAGTGGATTAACTGTATTTTGTGGGCAAAACACGGTAGCTAAATATGCACAGAAGTGTCCCACAAACGGTCCTGGATTGAATAATCCAAATTTTTGGTTTGTATTTTTTNGTGGGAGGGATTATTACCTCCAGAAGAGCAATCCGTCAATCGACTAACAACCGGGTTCCGACATACTACTAGGTAAACAGAGGCGTGTGGCATAAGGAAACTTTCCTGATTCTTCACCCCGCCCATGTGTCAAACCCGAGGGCTTTCGCTTCCGTGACTAACCAATAAGCTACTCCAAGCTGAGTTATGATAAAACAGGACAAGAGTTTTATTCTAGATAAATGTAATGGCTCAATTGTTAAAGGCAGTCAGTCCCCAGTGAGAAACTGAGCAATACAGATTAGGAAGATCTCAGGTATCAGTAACTATGCGATTATACCTTAGTGTCTGCTGAGTTAAGGTGGACTAAGGTAGTTATGGTAAGAGTAGGGACTATTATTAGCCTCATTGCCCCTTGGTCACGGAAAAAAAACATGTAGGATTGTTTCTCCTGATTATTATCGATAGGAGGCAAACGGCAGAATTTTAGAGATCTATTTCTTGGCCAAGTCAGCTCCTTCAAGAGTTGAGAAAATTGGAATCTAGTGGTGTCGAGTTAGCTCACTGTCACTCTGGGGTCAAATGTAACCTAGATTAATAGAGTGAAAGTCTCCTCTCTGTTAACTGTTACAGTCCAGTTCCTTGTTGGTGCAGATCACCAGCATAAAACTGGCCTTAATTTGTCCAAATAAATCAGCAACCCCACAGACGAGAAGATACATTTGACAACAGAGCGAGAAGTGACAGTGAGCTACCTCAACACCAATTGGTAATGCAAAATAGGATTTCCATTGGGACAGAAAGGTGCCTAGTCTAACAATAATCCCCACATTTGATATAGCACCTTATCATGTCAAAGCGTTTCACAGAATATATTGTAACGTGGATTGACTGTGTATTTTGTGGGCAAAATGCGGCAGCCAATTGCACACAGCAGTGTCCCACAGTCGTAGATTGAGTGACCAATTTTTCTTAAGGGTTTATCACCCCCAGAAAGTGATTCGCCCAAATCAACCTTCAGCCGGATTCCTACTTTCTCCTACGTAAACAGTGGCAT